ACTCATGCTGCCTATTGGCAGGAGTACTGCTGCTGATGTGGACATTCTAGCCTTTTCGCCAAACGGACAGTACCTGGCAGCTGCTACGTGTAGGAAGGAGGTCTTTGTCTGGGAAATAGAGACACGGACAGTCTTGCGGTCGTTCAAGATTGATTATCCAGCACTAGGTGTCCAATTTGCTAACAAAACTAACGCACTGGTGGTGTATCATATTGGTGGCAAGCTGGCTTTTGTGAAGGACGTGATTCCAGCGGGACACACTCCACCCCAGCATATGATAGGGCAGTCTACTACATCAGTTCAGGTCTTGCAGTCGGGAAAAACGAACGTGAAGGTGTCAGGACTTGTAGATGACGAGGCTAAGACGGATGGAAAGCACAAAGAGGAAGACGAAGAGGAAGTGAGCTTTGATGATGACAATGAGGCAAGAGTAGAAGCCATCAAGGCCAGCTTCGGTTTTGGCTCGGCACTAAAAGCCACTAACAACAACGAGATTGAAGATGAAGACATCTCAGTATCGGCTTTACCGACTACGAAGTCATCGCCCCAGCAACTCTCACCATTGCGCACCATTACAGAGCCATTCCAGCCTGGCAGCGTCATGGACGCAACAGGACGTAGCAGCAGTGCTACCTCATTGCTGGCTTGGACTCCAGAGGGCGAGATTGAGGTGATTCGAGGAGCGAGTATGAGTGAAAACTTAGTAAAGGTGGAATTCGCGGACAAGGGTCGTCGAGGATTCAAGTTTAACGACAACTATATGTTCTCAATGGCATTTCTGGACGACTACGGTGCTATTTTTGCCGTCCCGCGACGCGCTCGTGAAGACTGGGAAGACCTCGAAGCAGGGACCGACGAAAGTGACGTTATTAGCAGCTTTATTTTCTACCGTCCGTTTGAGTCTTGGGCTAGCAATAGCTCGTGGCACAAGACGCTGCCCGAGGGTGAGGATGCTGAATGCGTTTCTGCAGGTCGTGAGTTTTGTGCGGTGGCCACCTCGTTGCATACTCTTCGAATCTACACGTCAAGTGGCATCGACTATGCGCTACTGCGATTACCTGGTCGCGTTGTAACAATGACCGCAAAAGAAACTTTGCTGGCTGTTGTGTACCAGGGACTGCATGGACAGATGCTCTACCAGCTCCTTCGCATTCACGTGAACTCGTCACGCGAACGTGTTGTGTTGGTCTCCAAGGGTCAATTGTCCATGACGCCTCCACCACGAGATGTTTTTGCGTCGCACAAGGAGAACGACACAATACGCGAAGACGTCCGAAACTGGTCGAAGCTGACATGGATTGGTTTCGATGACCGCCAGATTCTTTATGCGGTGGACTCGTTCTCGTGCATTCAGGCACTGTCACCCAGCACAGGATGGAACTGGTTTCCTATCGGCTGTGTTGGCAACGCGCTGCAGAAGAAGCCGGAGGACCGTCACGGTATTTTTACACTTGGCGTGGTTAACGACTCATTGCTCTACTTCCCGCTGGAGAAGGGCGCTCGGGTTCCCAAGCTTCGCGGTAATCACCGTCCGGTACCTGGTACGTTCCCATTGCGCACGGCGTCTTTTCCAAAGACGTCAAAGAAGAACGAGGACGCTTCAAATGGCCACATGTGGCAGAATGTGCGACTGTGTGGACTAGAGGCAATTGCAAACGATGCAAACGTTGGTAACATCGCAGACCAAGTAGTCCATGAGCAGGCTGAAATGGACAAGGCACTTATCTTGATGATGAAGACGGCTTGCATGAATGACGATCCTGCGCGAGTGCTTGACTTGGCAAAGTGTCTGCATCTTGAGAAATCCCACCAGATTGCACAGAAGCTCGCTATTCACTTCTCTCTGCGCCAGCTGCAGTCACAACTATACGAGCTGTACCGCGTCAAATTTGAACAGCCTCAGCGCTTCGAGCAGGAGTCGATGGTACAAGCTTCTTCTGAACCTCGTCAACAGGCACCTACAAACCGCTCTAGCACAATGAAAGACAAGCTCGAGCCACGGAATGTGGAGCCTCTCAGTCGTGCTCGTAGCATTCTGTCGCGACCGCCGTCTACGCCTTTGCGTGACGAATACGACGACATGGAAACTGCCTCTATCGACGAGACCCAAGAAACGAAGGCCTTGACCCCTACACCGAAGACTACTTTTGCAAAGGGAAGTGCTGTACGCGTAGAGCGGTCAGTGGTACCAGCGAATCCGTTCCTGAAGAAATCTAGTGGTTCCTCGACATCACCCACAGGCAGCAAGAAGACGGGTCTGCAGCGATTGGCCAAGTTCACGTCGCCATCACCAGCCAAGAAGCAGTGTCGGTCGACATGGAAGAAATGAAGGTGCCCCGGGACCAAAGAGCGATGGAAAAGTTCAACTATACATATAGTTGACGTGCGTTTTGGTCTGACTTGATGGACGGGATGATTGCTATTGCAGATCAGAAGGCGATATACTTGGACTGAGCACTGTGCACTCTAAATGGATACATTTGACTCATATATCTATGCGTAATCTTTTTGATGACGTAAGGATCTGAAGCGGCGACTTATAAATGATGACGGGATGTGTAATCAGCACCGAATCAACTTTATTTAGTTTAACAGGTAACTGAAATCCGTCTGACTACCAATCTTATGGTTCAGCAAGTATCAAATGAGAAAGAATATAGATTATTAGAAGCTGTTTGATCATAAATGGGCCGTTTGACGGCGAAGCAGTACTTCATTACGCTACTCATGACTTGTTGACTCACCATAAACAGGTGTACCGTCCCACGCTTTTTGGTCTTATATGCACAATACCTCAAAATTAATAAATATACCCCTATGTTAACATATCATTTATAGTAGGTCAAAACAGAAAAATACATATAAATAAGTGTCGTCTCTCCATAACCTGATAACCCACACCATCTCCAAAACTAGTTGTTCAATTCGTCTACAGCCAGGCGTCGACTTTATTATCATTATCATCATCTCTGATCTCTAGCAAAGTCTCTTGTCCATTTTGCAACCTCTCACGTCATACAAGTCTCTACTAAAAAAAGTCCTACAAGTCTCTACTATAAAAGTTGGAGCTCAATACCTCATATTCAAACTCTTATGGTCTCTACTTCTTTTGAATTTACTGCGAGTTCAACGTGGCACGATCCAATGGACATTCACGTTCGAAAGCTCATGATGACACGTCTTCAAAGTCATTCAACATTGACACAACAATATCCGCTCTTACAGACATCTAAAGATTCTGGTACAAGTCCATCACTTTTGCAACGACTTGAATGGATGTTGTACCATTCTGCAGGCTCTTTAGGTGAATACCTGCATCAGCCATCGCTGGAGCGACGTGTACAGGGTCTCGTGACCCATTATAAACGCAAACGATCCGAGACAGAACCAAACGACAACGTTATGACGTCTAGTCGAGCTTCGACTACCAAGAGACAGAGATTTCTAGTGACGATTACCGAAGATGAGAGTCGTGACTGTAGTGTCAGTGCTACAGATTGTGTGCTTAACAGTAACTTGGACTTGTTGCACCACGTGTGCAGGTTTCTAGACAGCTCCGACGTCTTACGATGTCGAACGGTCAACAAATTCCTGTACCTTCATGCACCGTCTTTTATACAGTCATTGCATATTGACGCAACGTCGTCTACAATGTCAGAGACGCAGAATGATGGTGGTGATGCTGCTGTGTCAGGACTGGCGGGCTTTGTTGCACGAATGCAAGAACCTCACAAGTCTCACGATCTCAAACCAAAACAACCAGTCACATCTCAAGGCAGGTATTGTATTTCCAAGAGCTTTCACGGTGTCAAAGTACGTGGCTTCGCTCGCGACAGCATCATACGGTCACCATTTGGTTTGTGACGTTGCCAGCGCGCTGGAAGGAGGAGCATGTCCTTTACTACAGACATTTGAGCTCCTTGCTCCGTTCGACTTTACAACAGAGAGTGATACCGTTTTAGTGGTGCTGCGAGCACTGGCTGAGAGTAAGACAGAGCATGGGCTCAGGATTCCGCTGCAGCATTTGGTACTTGATGCAACTTTTCTCGGTGATCGCGGCATTAAGCAGCTTACTGACCTGTTCGAGACTCGGAGAGCATTCTTCAAGCACCTGCAGACACTAATCGTGCGCAACAATTCCATGGGTGAAACAGGTTGTCGCGCTCTTCTTGATGTCATCGAGCCGTTCAGTGACCTCAAGACGCTGGACCTGAGTCGAAACATCCTGACTGACACGGATGCACTCGCACTTGCAGATTTGCTCGACAATCCTGTCGCAGGCTGGAGTTTTTGCGAAAGCATGAATGGTAACTGGATGACGTCGTCTAAAGAGGACATTGAACGTGAACGGTTGAGCGTGCTGGGACTTGCCGGGCTGCGAACGCTTAAGCTGCATGAAAACTTCATCACGTGTGACGGGTTTCACGCCATCACGATTGCACTGTGCTCTCGAGAAGTCTTTGTGGCGACAATTGGTAATGCTGCTGAATCCAATGATGAAGAGGAAGACAATTACGATGATAATGAGGAGGAGGAAGAATTCATACATGGAGATCAAGAGCACCAGACGATATTTATGAAGAAATGATTGATGCAACTTTCACACGAGTAGAAGTAGAAAAAGTTAGCTAGGACACGAGCACCGGTCTTTTGCGTGTGCAGTACGTGCACCACAGACACATTCGCATTGCGACAGACTCAGAAGTTGCAGCAGTAATTTGCATGACAGCTTCCAGGTGACAACGAACACAAAGAACGTCGTTTTATTGACAAGTGACGGTCGAGTTGGCTGCCTTCTTTGCTCAGGATGTTGATTTGATACAAGTTTCGACGGTCATGATGACCAGGATAATGACATCACCTTGAGTCTTGCTGGACACTTACCAAGAAATCTTGTCCGTGATGAATGAGATGAAGCGCTGTCAACAATAACACTGCGTGGAGTGGGCAATGGCTAAGCTTTTCACCATCCGTCCCATCCAACAGATCATCTGCAGCTCAGCTGCTACCTGGACGACTTGTCTCCAGCAAAAGTGTCAAGTACAAAGTACACATGCCATTGTATCATTTGGCATTCGACCACCTCGATCAACAACCGTTTCCGAATAGCTATGCAAGGTCACAAGTGTGTCCTTGTGTGGACTGTCGCTCTTGCTGCGCTTGTGGATGCAGACTTGGAGGGTATTTCCAGCTTCACGATTCCATCATTCGACTATGGTTTGTTACAAGATGGTGACACTCCAGACCGTCTCCTTCAAGCTCTGGAACGTGGAGGTATTATTGCACTCAAGAATATCCCAAACTATGCCCATGTTCGAGAACGCTTCTTGATTAGTGCTGTGCAATGTGCCGTTGCTTCGGAACATGTCGACGAAGGAAGACGCTACTTATCGACCAAAACATTTCATGACGGAACTCGTCGCCTTACGTTGCGAGCTGCTGCAGGTCGTGAGCTCATGAACACGGACATTGATTCATTGAAAGTGATGGCAGCCATTTGCCCAGGTCACCGTGAACTCTACGAAGATTTCAGCAGTACAATTGAGCGAGCGGTAGACACGTTTGCATTAGCACTTGACAAGACCAAGTTCACGATGGGTGATGGCGAGCGAAGCATTAGTGCCCGAAAACTGATTGGAGACGCGAAACGGTTGGACCATTTCCACGCTTACGAGGCGGCTCCGGGGATCTCACCAATTTCCAGTCACCGGTCACTAATGGCCGAGAACATTGAGCAAGACTTGTCCTTGGGCATGCATGAAGACCACGGCCTCTTTATTGCAATGGCAGCACCGAGCTTCTACTCGTTCAATGGTCAGGATGGAAACATTCGCGAGAGATGCTTCGAATCCGATACGTCGGGTCTAGTGATCGGATCTCTCGAGCTCGATGAAATCGTTCGTCCAGAGCTCAAAGCAGACGAACTCGTTATCATGATCGGCACTGGTGCATCGCGTTGGTTGGAGACCAGCCACCATCTACCTGCCGTCACGCACGGCATGAGAATGCCGAAAGAAATGGTCTGGGACGACGAAGTTGTACCAGGGCAACGCAATTTTCGTGCATGGTTTGGCAAGATGACGATGTTACCTTCGTATCAGCGCCTAGTCGAGACGAAAACATCCTTCGCTCAGTTCGCCAATCTATCAACTCGCCACTTGCAGGCCTATGGAAACTCAAAGGATGACTTGAAAGCCATCGGTTGCGCAGGAGGTCGTCATTTGGTAGAGTCCGAAGCAAGCTGCACCTACAGATTTTGCACATTGAGACCGGGCGTGGAAAAACCACCGACGGTCGGGTGTCAGCAAGCATGCAACTATAACATGGAGTTTTTTAACGACAAGTGCGAGAAGAAGTGTGATTGCACTAGAACCACCACTCAAGCTGATGAGTGCTGGATGCTTTGTGTCCCTCAACTCCCCGTCGAAAGGTGTGCGCTCAAAGATCAGGAATGCTCAGGCCTGAAGCGTATCTGTACGGCAAACAACACTACCCCGATTGCATCCTCAGCCCCTGTGACACCAACGGAAGCGCCTGCATTCACAAAGATGCAAATGCCTCTTACGGAATCCCAAGGAGCACCCATGCCTTCGACACCTCAAAGTGTATGAGAGGTACTTCTGGATGTTAAACGAACCTTATGCTTCACGCTAGATGGTATGTAGAGCAGTTCAAATCAAAGACTCACCGACAAGCTTCGAGAAAATAAACTCGATGTCTGCATCTCAAATAGCACGCTTTCATTCGTGTGTATCCTTCGTCTTACCAATCGCTCAATCTCAACTTCTCTTTTGCTGGTCCTATGCCTAGACTCTGTCATGCAACTTGCCCTGTTGTGTCTTTGATCAGACTGCAACGTCCTCGAAGCGACGTTTTACAGTCCTCGGCTATTCTTCGCGTCGATCCAGCGAATCTACATTTGCTCGTCCTGCGGTTCTCCCGCGACCTGTTCATCTCCCACCTCCTCTTCCTCTCCCACCTCCTCTTCCTCTCCCACCTCCTCTTCCTCTGTAGCATACAGCACCTTGAAAACAGCCTGAGCCAGCGGGTTCGTTTCACTTTCTTCTGCCGATTGCAGCATGATCTCCACCTCACGCAGTTTATTAAAGTAAAAATCACGTTCCTTCTCCAAGCTTTCAACCTGTACAAAAAACACCATTTCAATCAGCTCGACAACTTCTCCCCACCCCATCGTATAACAAAAGCCACAAAAATACCATTGCCCGGAGCTCTCCACTTTCATTCGTCAAGGCTTCATTACTAGCCATCAATTCCTCCAGCTCCTTTTCCAGCGGTGCCGTCGCCGCAGCAACTGCAGCTTCCGTGTCCACCACACTATTACCACCAGGACGACGTGACATTCCCGTCGATGTTTTCGTCGTACGTGTCACTCCGACCGACGGAGCTCCCGACGGCATTTTGCCGCTTTTTGACATCGTAGGAGCTCCAACTTTCCGACGTATTGGAGCCCCCGACATAGCTACACCACCACCATATTTTTGCGTATATTGAGCACCTCCTTTTCCTTTTTCCCGCTGAATTAATGGATCATATGGCTGTCCCGAAGCATTCCGCTCAAAAAAAGCTTTAAACCACTGCATAAACTCGAGATTATCTTGGTATTTCCCACGCACAAGACGATCAACTTCAACGTGTTTGTCAATCTTAAGTTGCACAAAAGCTTTCTGTAATACCTTGTAGTTCTGGATATACTCATAGTCTTTATTCGCAGACCAATCGACTTTACTCATTTGGACTTTACCTGGATACATGGCGTCCAAAATTTGACAAGCTACAGCACCAGTACATGTCTGTTCAACCTTGGAAAGAGAGATACTACATAGATTATTAATCCAATCAAGAATCTCTTTACGACCGACGAAATACGTGCCATCCATAAGACTCATACTCTGATCCGCTGCAGCCATATTGTGGTATTTATGACTGAGAGAGAAAGGATAGAAATAGGGTCGGGAGAATAGAAATAGAGTAGAAATGAGTACTCGGTCGAGTTAGAAATCCACCGAATGGGTATATATTGTTTTTGTTTAGAAAGCAATGGCTAAGAAGAGCAGAGGTGGTATGTTGGCTGGATAAGGGCGTGATTATGTTGTGTATTTGCTGACTTTTGTGGATATGTGATAGCTGTAAAGAGAAAGAAGAATGATGGAAAGAAAGGATCCGGTAACAAGCCTCGGAAAGTTGGCATGTTTCAAGCACTTAAGAAGCAGGAAAAGAGGTGCAGTGATCTGCAGTGCTGTGCAAAACTTTGACTCATATGTTTACATTGGATGGTGTTATCAATTGGTCATTGTTATTGCTGGAAAAGAGCTGGTGTAGTTGAGATGAAGAAGAGTGATAGTTACAAGATCAAGCGGAAGGCGACGCCGGGGTCGAACGAGTTCCGTAACTTTGACGAACGAATGGCTGCAAAGAATTCACGACGACCACGTTTAGCACTTCAGGATACTGGTGTCGCATCTCTGACGTTTGTGATGGCACCACCAACGTTTGAATTGTAAGTGATGTGTTTGACTTTCTAGCTGTAGCTTGTGCATGCCTTTCTAACGCGATGGTGCTGCTTTTGATCGATGCCATAGCAACGTCAACACTATGCAGCCAACACCGGCACTGCGTGAAGTGGAAGGTTTTCACGGCTTTATGTCTGCACTGAACGCACCAAAAGATGTGCCAATAGTACACCAGGACCACGTAGTCCGCCAGTCCAAGCCCATGCAGTGTGACTACCAAGGCAGCAACGTGTTTGCAGTGCTGGACGACGATGATGAAGAGCAGCACAAGAAGACAGAGACGAATCGGCAGCCAGGACCTATATTCATGCAGCCAGCGACGTTCACTCTCGCACCCGTCAAGTCGACGAAACTTTTGCTGCAGTCTTCACTTCGACAGAGTATACAGCCAGCAGTAGTCGAGATAGACCCCGATTTATAGGCCGTTATTGCCACAGACTAATTGTATGGAGCATGTGGTTGTACGACCGTGGGTCTGATGCGTCGTCGTCACGATTGCAAAAAATCGTAATTAAGCACTTTTTATTAGCCTCCATGTCGTTCGAACAGCTGTCACCGTCGCACAACATTCAAAGAACCCGGAGAAGCGAAGAGTTCCAGGCGACCCGAGCCGTCATAGCGCTAACAAGCACGACTTTGATTGTCATTTCTTGAGTGGAGAGCGAGTGCGTGCACGCAATAAAGACACACAGTAAAAGCAGCAGCATCAGGTCAAGTAATGGGTAGTGCTAGTAGTAAAACGGGTGATGTGAACCCGAAGAATCTCGGTGCAGACCCGAACGATCCGAATGCGTTCCCAGTGCATCATCATCCATACTATAGCAATCAACCAGGCCATGGACAGACGCAACAGGGAGGAGGATATGATAATATTGAATACGGGAAGCATCCACTGCCACGACAACAATATTACGGACAAGAGCAGGACCATACGGAGGCTATGGACGTGGACTTACCGACTGATTCCACCTCGGACATGGACGGAGAAATGGACTCCTCTTTGCAATTGGATGTAAAAGACACGGACAATAGCAAGGGGAAGAATATACAAGCATCAGATACGACATTACCACCGAGGGAAGATGTTGTACCGATGGTGTTCAAGTGGGAGCATGGAGGACGGAATGTGTTTATCACGGGCACATTCAATGGTTGGGACAAGCAGTGCCCGATGCACCGATCTGGCAATGATTTTACATACATTGCTAATTTAACACGGGGGAAACATATGTACAAGTTTGTCGTGGATGATGACTGGCGGTTTGCACCCGATCAATTGACAATGGCAGATGTGGAAGGCAATGTGAATAACTACGTGGACGTGTCGGAATTTGCACCATTGTCGGATTTTGACGGCAAGAATAAATTGCAAGAAGATGATGAGGATCCTGAGAACCCGTACTCGCGATATATTCCTGAGATCGACGAGTACACGAAGGAACCACCTCCACTTCCACCACACTTGCGGCACATTATCTTGAACAAGGTAAGTCTCTTTAGTGTAGTTGCATCTGCAGATGTTGTGCTGGTTTTGTCTCGTGTTAGTCATTCTTTGTGCCTTGTGTGGTGTCATGGTTGTATAGGCGCCGCCGACCGTTGATGGTCGATTGTTACCTGTGCCTCAGCATGTGGCGCTCAATCATCTCTACTGCACCGCAATCAAGGATGGCATGATGGTGCTTGGCATCACTAATCGCTACAAGCAAAAGTTCGTGACCACCGTTTATTATAGCCTCATGCCTGGTGCCAACTAGCAGTCGATGTTCTAGATCGACTCAACGTAGATGACAGGGAAAAGTAGTAGAACACGGGAGGAAGAGAGATCGGAGCCAAGTCGTGAATGATCCAAGTGTTGGACGCGGCGTGGACATGCAGTGCGCGTGGCTTTGTACCACTTCTGTAGGGAAAGTAGTAGATGGGGAAAGAACGCCTTCTTGTTTGTAAGGAGCTGCTTTGCTTGCGCAATGATGCAAACAAGCAGCACAAAAATGTGGCAGGGCATGGCCAACCTAGGAACGGCAAAGCCTCAAGCAATGAGAAGCAAAAACTTACTGCATCTTTGTCCTCCCGAGCCATCTCCACCACATCATTTAACCATCCTTATAAAAAAACACGACAGCACCACGCAGCACAAAACCAGTAGCATATTTTTCATCTTCTTCAGCAAACCAGGTCGTTCAACGTTGACGACTGGACTGCATTGTTGTAATGTGGTCCACCACCGATTCCTTCAGTCCAAGCTGAAGCACTTGATCAGATCTGCGTCACGGGATTGTCTGCCATGTGTTTATACGTAGATCTCGGCCCATAGAAAGAGAAAGAGCGAGCCAAAACCCAGCAGTAATGAAGCAATTAAAGCCAGTAGTAGCTCTACCAAAGCGTTCTTCTTGGGAGCGACGGCACGGATAAAGAAGATCGCCATGAACACAAGACCAGTCAGCAATAACGTGGCTGTAAGGAAGCCATATTTTTCAGGATTGATAGGGCTTGTATACGGGATTTCCTGGTGTATAAAGAGACAGAGAAATACGAGAGTCAGTAGCTGTAGATTACCATACATACAGCCAGAAAACCACGTACGAGTTCCATTATGAGAGCGAGAATATATATCTGACGTTGACTGCCACGTAATGGAAATGTATTTAACTTACGAACGTATGTCGTAAACTATTTCGGCATTAATAATGATACATAACAACCAATCAAATGGATGGAAACGTGTGCTTTGCTGACCAATCACGTTGAGTAAGGAGTAGTCGAAACAAAAGGAGGATAGGAATGGTCGAAGCCGAGGACGAACGTGCGCTACGTCGTGAGCTAGAAGCATTAGCAAAGAAACGCAAGACTCTTGACAGCACCAGTACGTTTTTCTCTCCATGGCTAGCTATTTTTTTATAATCTACAGAGCTGTAGAAACTGATATATTCTCATTTGAATCTTTATGCGGATTGTTTGTCTGTATAACTTAGAGCGTCAAGAAAATGGAGCAGCAAATAGGGCAGGAATAGGTCGAGGAAGTGTATTTGCACGACTGGGTGGCGAGGTGACACGGAAAGGCCGACAGAGTTTGCATCAAAAGGAGAAGAATACGCGGGAAAATGCTTCGTGGAGACTCGGGAAACGCAATAATGAAGACGTTCTATACGGTAATGCAGGGAAAAGACAGAAACTTCATTCAGCAGTGACGAGGCCGGAAGGTGGTCACTATTCTAAGGGAGTCGAGATTGAAAAGAGTGCTGTTAGTGCTACGTCACCGACTGAGAACAATACTTGTGTACAGGAGAGAAAACAACGTGCAATGGCACCATATGCACAGAAAGATGGTATTGCACGCAGTCGACGTATGTTTGGTGCGTTGATGGGACATTTGGGCAAAGCAAAGCGACAAATTGAAAAGGATACGGACTTGTTCAAACGTCAGGACACAAAGCAGCAGGAGGCAGAAGAGAGGGAGAAGGCACAGAGCAAGAATCTAGAGCACCGAGCTCGTATGGAGGCCAAGACAGCACGACTTGAGGCGTTGGTCGTACGCACTGAACTCGACCGTAGCGAGCAAGTTGCACGTGCCAAGCTGGAGCATTTGCAGATGGTCCGTAAGAGCGAAAGCCAATCCAAGTTTCTGATCACTATTGCGTCTCCACCTATCTACTATCTTCCTTCAAAGCACACGAAAGAGACCAGAGAACTTGTTGCTGCGTCCATGGAGGCTCATGAAGCAAAGGTGAAAGCTAGAGAACGAAGTCACGAGGAAAAACTTCGAACGCTGGAAGCCGAGTTCGAAACCAAGTTGGAGCAGCTTCGTGAAGATCTCAAGGCTTTAAAGAAGGATAGGAGGAGGAGGAAATCGCTGATGAGCAGGTAACGAGCGACAAAGATGATGATACGATGGAAGATGGAGACCAAGACATGGACCATTTTCCCCAAGAGAACGAGGAGCATCGACAGGAAAACGCCAGTGAGCATGGCAACGGACCTCCAGCTATGGCAGCCGAAAACAAGGATGCCGCCCGGAAAAGTGTGTCTGGTAGCGAACCGGATGACAATAGCATCACAGAATCAAGGAATACTGGCGGAGAGGCTCGCAAGGATTCGGTTGAATCAAAGTCTCAGAGCACAGCTAAAAAAGAACGATCTGCTTCATTCCAGGGAACTGCGGACGGTGAGGACGTGAGTCACAGCAACGCGGAGACTTTACCTCATAGATCTCTGGACGGTGAGGACGTGGGTCACAGCCACACGAAGACTTTACCTCAGATAACTGCGGACGGTGAGGACGTGAGTCACAACGATACGGAGGCTTCACCTCAGGGAACTGCGGACGGTGAGAACGTGAGTCACAACGATACGGAGGCTTCACCTCAGGGAACTCTGGACGGTGAGGACGTGGGTCACATCGACACGGAGGCTTTACCTCAGATAACTGCGGACGGTGAGGACGTGAGTCACAGCGACACGGAGACTTTATCTCCTAGTCGGGTGAAAGAAAAGTTAGAGCTCGGGCAGGAGAACCTGACACAGAACGACCAGCCTGTCACGACTGGTGTCCAGAGAGGGTGCGAGGAAGCAGAGCCTGCACGTGACTCCAATATCGCCACTGCTAATAATGATGATGAGACTGGTATTCCCGCTGATCCCAAAGAAAGTGCGGTCATTGATGTCGATAAGATGAGGGTTATTGAGCTGCGAGCGGCGCTAAAGGAGCGAGGACTTGACACCAAGGGTCTCAAAGCTAAACTTGTGCAGCGGCTCAAGCACGCGATGCATGACGAAGACGAATCCAAGTAAGTTTCGTATTTATGCTGGGCATACACGACAATATACCAGACTGTTCCTTCAAACGGCTTTAACTGCTCTATCTGTGGATCAAACTTTCGTTTGATAGGGAGACTTCATCGGCAGCATAACAGGCAGACAACAACTTCGGTCATTCAAAGTGAAATGTGGCATCGCTCCTAATGGCATAGGCTTTGAAGCGAATATCACAAAGAAAGTCAGTGGGCTTAGCAGAATATCACTGACATCTTCTTGATACAGCCGATCATAATGCCATGCGCATAGTCTGTTGCCGGATTCTACGTCATCTGCTCCGTTCAAGTAGAGGAGCTACGTCGGGTAGTCTGGCAATAAATTACTGCGAAACCTATGAAACTATTGTGCTGTATACCGCACCACGAAATAACGCGAGTCCTATTTGCATGTCGCTCTCACACGTCGTGACGCATGGAATGACGCAGCACGGAGTAAGAGAAACAATATTTTCCTTTTCAGTGGCTAATGATGCAAGTGCTATAGAAATCAAACGCTGTCAAAGCGTACCACACTAGTGCGGACCCAGATTTGGCATGATACCTCGTGTCTAGCAAGAGGTGTGGATTTGAAAACACCCACACTGCCTCTCTTTTTAGCACAGTCCTTCACGTGCCATCTCCGACATGCGCTCTGACAAGCGCTCCTTGATGATCTTTCGACGTTTGCGGAATGATGTGCGCTATATAACAAGCAGCAACATCGCATGAAACAACAATGTTAGCCAGCCACCTAACAACAAATCTATAAAAAACAGCTTCAGCTCTTACCAGACGGCCTTCCTTGCTAAAAAGCTCCAGAAATCCATGCTGCATGTCGTCGGCTTTGCTGATCCATTTGTGCACGAACCCATCGACATCGTTGCGAACCTTGTCTACTGCCATATCAAATTTAATTGTCTTCTCTTTAATGAATGGTACATTCATGTCCTTGCCGGAGTACCCGCGTTGCAAATTACGACGAATGAACGTGTCGTACTCTGCAATGATCCGGATGATCAGATCCGACGTCGAGATCCCGTCCGTACGTCGTGTCTCCAGAAACTTGCCCATAGCTTTGATCCGAGCATACACATCACCCTCTGATGCTTCACCTGAAGTGTCCGAGTATGGCAATGCATCATGACACACGTAATCAATCTGATGTTGCTCTAGAAACTCATCTGATAGGACCCAAGGAGCGTCTTCAATCACCTCATCCACCCATTTACAATGACGCAACGATTCGTAACGTTCCGTGTCCGACATGACGGTACGACCTTTGAGTTTATGTGTAATTTCATCACTGCAACAGCCCACAATTAGGTACGAATTTGGGTATGCAACTTTGCATTGTTGCAGAGCTTTGGCATGTCCAAAATGAAAGAGATCAAAGATACCATCGGCATAAAGACGTAAAGGACGTCCAGTTAAAGTACCAGGTTCTCCTTCTTCAAGCTTTTTACGGTAGGGTTCAGGTTGTGGTTCATCGTCACCCTCCTGACTACTGACGCTACTGCTGTCATTCGATTCCTTTGAATCGGAAGCGGTACTTTTCGTCTCTTCTTCAGCAGCAAAAGCATGATGATCGGCCTCAGCCTCTTCTGCATTGTTCATCTCATTCGCACGACGCTACATATGAATTAATAGTATAGTATTTTTTAGTATTGCGTTATTGTAAACAGTGTAACATCTAATGCGGGGGGGACACGTACCTTTCTCGCCATCTTTATTTCCTCTTGTTTTCTATTCGTCGAAAATGAAAATGCCACAAGATCAAAAGGCGTCGGAAGGTTTTCGTACTTAGTGCAGTACTCGATTTTTTTCACACAATTGTGACGGACATATCGTCATCCGTCACTTCAACATCACAATATGTTTTTGACAAATGCATGAAAAGGTCCAGTACCTTTTGGACGTAGACACGACAAAAAAGAGATATAAATTGTTACGAGATTTTTTTGGTCCACTCGAAGACGATCACGATGATGACAGCGATGTCACACGAGTGCTGCCCGAGTAGAATTTGTGCGGTACGTTGGCAAAATGATTGCGTTCTGTGGTCATCGTAGACTGGACAATGATGGGCACATGCCATTGGAACGATTGCCGCTGCTGAGTGGTTGTATTGCTTGAGCCTTGTAGCGGAGATGAAGGTGCACCTGCAGAGAACTCAAATCGTAAAAGCCACTGGAAGCGTACGAGATCGGTCTTGATGGTCGGCAGGGCGTCATGCGGAATGCTAAAGCGTGCATTTGTCTGCAGCACGCCTAGTGTTCGCTCGCGGAAGCTACCATAGACCTTGGACTGCACGACACGGTCTGGATCCAGCGCCATTGACGAAAGAATCTCTTCGAGGCAGAGCGTAGCTGACACCTCATAGCATGGAATGCTGGCGCGAGTGAAGTCAAAAATGCCCAGCAGAACTTCCCCTGGTTGGTAATACTGCTTTAGAAGTAGGAAGCGCACCAGATGACTATTGTCCTTGCCAATGGTGAAGATGCTCGTCTGCGCGCGCTGCATTAGCTCTGTTTCCACACGACCATGCATCAGCGACGGACGCAACTCGAACGCAATTTCATTGCCCTTGCGCACCCCAACAGATGCCGGTGTCACGGAGAAGGGTCGTTCAACACGAGTAGTGCCACCCACAACCTGCTGAGTTTCGACACTCTTGTCGGCTGACGTAGTGATATCATCTTCCTTTTGCTGACTTGTGGCAATGTGATTCGCGCTAGCAATTGTGCCAGTGTCGAAGAAATACTCTGAGCCATAGACATCAAATGGCAAGTGTACAGACACAGATTTACTTCCATCACTTGCAAATTGTGCTGTGATCGAGATCACGTAGAAGACCTTGGCGGATACACCACGAAAGCTTGGGCAGATGTTCCATGGCAAAGCAATGGCAAACTCTCGCGTACAGCGCTCTGCCGTTGCTTCTTGTGCTGCTTCAAAGAGCGATACAGGATCAGCAATTCCTTGATTGTTGTGAGAAGCCGCTTCTAACTCAATTTGAGTCGGTGCAATGTTAATGTCCGAGAAAAGAACCGACGGCGTCGCGCGAAAGATGCACGTGCCCGTGTTTCCTGAAAAGTTGCGCACGTCTGGTAGCGCTGCAACGACGTCCTCTAGTTTCTTATTCTCCTTATTCTCATCGTTTGATGCAAACCGAGGCGATTGGACGTGAATTACTGGAAGTGTCAGCAAACTGATGTCCACTGTGACGTGACCGTGAACTTGAGCTACTACGTGGGCGATCTTTGAGTACGCATCCGGATCTTCATGGTGGCTTACAAGTCTCACAACACCCTTGACAATACCTCCTGTTCGAAAGTAGCGGCTTGCGAGGCGTGCCACTAAGACACTCCCCTTGGCTGAATCTGTGACGTGATCGACTGCCATGGCGATGAAATTGGGAAAATATGACACAAAAACGCACTTAGGAGTGATTGTACAAGTGGTGGTGTCACGCACACCAATATTTTGAAGTGATGTTATCGGAACGTCGTTCTAACAAAAACTGTCCAATGGCATTAGAAACTAAAGCAAAAACATACCCCGATTTAAGGGTGGCTGGACTCAGCACCTTTATTAGCAATGCACTGATCCCTTCTATTTCCGTAGCTCTTTATTATTGATACTATCGCATCAAGTAGGAGCAGTCATGACGTCATATAACAGCTTTCTGAACCTTTTGTGCCGCCGACGCTGCCACCAGCACTGCCTGTAGTCCTACAAGAAATGCACTTCATGTAATGTCCATCAATTTAGAGCACAAATGACAATTACGACGCTACACAAAACGCACCATTCAAGAACTGCTTCTGTGCTTGACGAAGGTCACTTGGCGGCAATGCACTGAACCAAAGCAGTGTGTCTGATTCCAGTCCAATCTTGCTGTGGACAGGATCTTCATCCTCATACCTCGTTCCTGCTCTTCGATGGTGCAGCATCGCGTCTCCGCTCTTCTTGTTCACATTCAATACTTCAGCTTCCGACGCATTTTGTAGTCGCCAGTTCCCATCAGAATCCAACGTCACTACACGAGACGCCTCAAACGTTTCATGATACGAGACCTCACTCAGTGCGTGTTCCGGCAGTCGCATTTTCGCTTTTATCAGCATGAAAAATCCCTGTTCAAACACCGTCACTATCTCTTTGAAAACTAATTCCTCGTCATCATAGCAAAACGCACCTGCTTGAGCTTTGTGCACAAGACATTGTGTTCGTCAAGATACGTCTCCAAGGACTCTACGCACTCTACTAGCACAGTATCAACGTCTGTATCAGTCTTCATCTTGGGTCAAATGAATTATTACATTTGCTGCGCAATATTTGTCGAATTTTCAGCAAATATGTTGTCAAGTCACAAATATATATTTAGATGACAAATATTGCTGTATAATTTGAAATATTCGATTTATTATTGCAACAATTACAGTTTTGGTCACGATGTCCATGCAGCGTAAGCAGATATCGCAGGAAACGTTCGATCAGTGCGTGAGTGAGAATGTGGAAGACTTTGACATGTCACTAGAGGAAGCAGTGATTGATGCTGTGCAGCAGTTTGAGTCACAGGGTGTAGATTTGTCCAATATCATCAAGACAGGCGTAACATTGACGTCCGAGGGACAGGAACCACTGCCATTGCGATTGAAACGGCTAATTACAGAGTTACAGGAGCTGTTGAAGCTCAACAATAAGGAGGATCAAGTGTTGAACATCATTGCTGAGCTTTATAGCGTCTGTCAAGAGGTACCAGAGGCTCGTGTGGTGGCAGGACGGAATAACGTTGTGGATACATTGTTGGCTCTGCTGGACGGAGGCCTCGACGCTGTGGCAGCATCTTGCAGCACGTTATTGGTGCTGCTGTGTACAGATAATGTAGACAACCAGGATTTTGTCGGTGTTACGGGAATGCAACGACTTGTGGCGGCTCTCAAGCGTCAGTGGGAGAATGTGGATACTGTGATACGGCTTTTAGCACTTGTGAAGGCGACGAGTGTCCAACACGAGCGAAACAAGACACATTTTACCAAGTCTGGTGGAGTTGAAGCACTGTGTGGATACTTGGACAGAGCAAAGAGCAATAAAGTGTTGTCGAAGCAGCTGGCACTTTGCTTTCGTGTGCTGACTATCAATGACGATCCGCACGCGATGTTTTCGCAGGCGCAGGATACTATTAAAGCCCTTGTCGATCATGACGTGATACCCTATAGCTTAGATGTCCTGCGTCAAGTTGGATGCAGTGATGAAACTGAACAGGCAATAGATGTGTCGCTGGAACTGCTGGCCAATTGGCTTGCAGTACTGAAGCAACTTGCCGTGACGGAAGAAAACTGTAAACAAATTGCTGATCTTGCAGGCTTGACAACCGTCCAGGAAGTCATGAAGAAGTATGAGCACAGCGCGCCAGTTACTAAACGTGGTATAACCGTTTTCCGAAATGTGGCGGCGGCAGACGATCTAAAGCGTGTGATTCTGCAATCAGGAGGCATCGAACAGACATTATTGATCATGCGACGCCACGAAGCCGATGCATCTATTCAACAAAACGCGTGCGCTACGCTGGCTGCAATTGCACTTCGCTCGCCAGAAAACAGTTGTGCACTAGTCGAGCTTGGAGCTATCCGACATATTTCGCGAGCCATGCAGGTTCACCACAATGATGTATCTGTATTGCGCCAAGCCAGTCTGGCAGTGCGTAACATGGTGGCCCGTAGCGTAGAGTTGCGTTCACGCTTTCTGCACGATGAGCTAGAAATTGAACCACTGCTTCGTAAGGCACAACAGTATCGTGGCTGTGGTGACGAAGCCTATGCAGCGCTGCGCGACTTGGGCTGCGATATTCAGCTGTCCTCCTTCGGGGCTGCCACCGTTACTGGTGCTTCTTTTTCCGGGTCTATGAAGGTGCTCACAACCAAACCGCGATTTAACCCAGTGCAAGCTGAGTCTAAACAGTTGCTTGACAGTGTAGAGGAAGCTTCCGAGGCTCCATTATCCCAAAAATGATCAAAATGTTTAATCAAATCGTACGACAGCTAGCAAGTCAAAGTTTACTTCATTTTTCTTCCATTCTCTGCCTATTCGACCTAGTTTGCTATTTTCCAGGTTCACCTTACCTCGTAAAATGCACTACTACTTCAGCTTCATCTTCTCTTGCTCCTTCCATTTCCTCGCTCGTGTTTTTAACCTGACGCTCCGACGTTATCTCTCCTCTTCTCTACCAAAGTCCGTATGTTGGTTAGAGCACATACACAAAGAGGCCGTTGCATCAACAACAATGACGGGCACTCCACTTGTGCTACAGTACTTCCGGAAGGTACGAGACGAGCTGTGTAGTGGTTGCACTACACGTCGACAAGCGAACACTTTTTTATGCAATGGCCTGCCAGCTCTGCTCGACAATCTCACGGACACGCCGGTTGTATTCTCGTCGATTTTCTTGAAAAAGACGTGCGGCTTCCGAGTTAGCGGGTGAGTTCGGATTGGGATCGCATAGCAGGGACTGAATGGACGTAAGGATGGCGGAAATGTCGTAAATCGGCGACCATTGGTTCTGTAAAATGTCCAAGCAGATCTGACCGTCGTTATAGACTACAATAATTTATACAACAACAATTTAAGTATCGTCACTTCATTACTGTGAAGTAGCAGGAAAGTACGTACTGTTTGGATGGAACATCTTGGTGATAAATTTGACGGTCGGTGCCTTGTTTGGATAATCTTCACTAAACTCGAGCGTGAGATTAAAAGTACCGCCTTCCCATGGCGTATCATCGGGTCTAAGATTTAAAAAAGATAAACACACAACAAGTAAGAGACAAAGTGGCATTGTAAGGGGTTCATAAAAACTTGTGTGTACCCAAAGATGACAGCCTGCCAGAGCATAATATTGTTGTCCATGGGAGCACCCGAGACACCCGATGGTGGATCATTCTGAAGCTTGCGAAAATCACGCATTAAACGTCGACGAGCGGCGGTAGACATGGCTACTTTTGTAGATGACGAAGTGAGGGCAGACCGACCGATACTTGGTGGTCTATGACTTAGTTTGATTATGGTCGAAGAAAGAACGTCGGAGATTCGAGAAAAAGGTCGTCTCGATTTGACGAAAGGTCCGGTTAAAAGTGTTGCTTAAGTAGCAACACCAAAATATGCATCTGGCTGACTAAACAAATCTCAACTCGCTACTTCACCGTGGCGTCACTTATAGTTTTCTTACTGGCAAGAAAGTATGACAGCATGACCTAAGACTGTCTGTATTCTGTCGGTAGTCAGTCAGTCAATAACATTATATACAATAACAGCATCATGCAGTTCTTCTATTGTCTAGCTCTATCTCTATCTATACCATCCTGACCTACAAGTAGATGACAATATTAAAAGAACAGAGCGCCATGCGTCAGTCAGATACTTTATGAGATGTGCCAACTACTCATGGACTGATCAAGAGTTATCTTGATTAAGCTTACCATGGAAATAGGAGGTGCGTCGTCTCCTATAAATATATACGAACCTTACGTGCCCAATGGCTCTTCTTCCTGTTTACTTACGAAGTTGTCATCCTTTACCACCAGTCTGCACTCATACCGTCCTGATACTTCTCTCGGCGTCATTCATCAGCAGTCGTCTATGTCATCACCACACCTTCAAAGAGCATCACACGACTCTTGTTTAGCTCCTTGCACACTCTTTTCATGCTCTTCTCACCAATCATCGTTACATCGCTAATCTCCTGAATAGAGCGCTTTGCATTCGTGTAAGCTGCCACGAGGTAAATCACAGAAGCCGCTACAGCAACAGGAGGCTGTCCACTAGACAATTCCAGACTGTCTGCCTTCTTTGCCACAGCATGTGCAATCATCTGTGTCTTATTTGGTAAACCAAGTCTCGAGCAAAAGCGTTGAACGTATTCCTCCGTCGTTGCTTGTTTAACCTCGAGATTCAAACGGCGCTGTAAAGTCATAAAGGACTTGCCAATACGTCGCTTCGGGATGCCCGACGCGTCCTCAAATTCCTTGAACGACCGAGCATTCCCAGCCTTCCTGCACGCAATAAACAGCACTGCAACAGCCATACTCTCTCGTTCAGGTCCTCGCATATTAATGCCTTGCTTCTCTGCTTCTGCGTATACGTCCAATGCAATCTCTACAATCTTTTTCGGTAACGATAAAAAGTCTGCAACTTCTTGTATACGCGTCATTGTACGCTGCATTCTCTTGACCTTGGCACTATCACCTGAAATATTAGGCCTCTTGTGTTGATGTCCCGACGAATTGTCCGTCCCCCCGCCGCTTTTCTTGGGGTCGACTAAATACGTCGATAAAGAGACACTATCGAGCCGCACGTCCGCGACGTCACCGACCCTGGATTTTGCAGCGGGGTCACCACCCCGATCATCATTAGCAAACGTTCGCCATTCGGGAGAATCATCTATTATGCGCTCACCGAGGATCATACCGCAGCTGCGACATACAACGTCACCTGCACTAAAGTCCGTCACGACGTCCGCGCTTCCACACTCACGACAGTGGTCCGGCACGCACTCACCTCCCATGACTGGTTGCTGTTACTTCACGAGCTTATAGAGCTTGTGAAATCGAAGATGCAATGGAGAGAGAGACGGAAGGCGTATATATATATGGCTTCACTTTGTTGGAAACTATTGTGATCCATTCAAAACTAGTATTGCATTTTTATCGAAAGTAATTCACGTACTGTACATCAAACATGTGTTCGATTCAAAACTAGTGTGGACACACCAAATGTATTAGCCCTCCAAAGTGTTGCAATCAATGCAGCACACACATAGAGTCCATGTCGTCGTGTCTCCTTCCCTTCGTGTATCTTCATTCTCTTTTCAAAACTTGAACCCCTTCTTGACAAGATCAGCTTTTGCTTCAATTACGTGACAGTCGAGCTCTTTGGCAGCTTCAGGGAAGTCTTGCACCGCCATAACCGACAGCACAATCACCACCAACGAGTACACACCAAAGGATCCAATCGCGTACACGGGAAGTCCCTTCACTACATGAAGAACAATCTGATTTTGTACATTATCAGACACATACCACACAAGTAGCAGCCACAGTGTGACCAGCACAACGAAGGCACGGAGCCACTTCTGATACTTGAGCATATTGACTAAATTTATTCTATTTGATTGAATGAAAATTCATATTTTCTTACCAATTTAACGACAATGATTGGATAGAAAGATAAATACAGAGTCCTGATTGGTACAAAATTGACTATGACGTTCATTTTTCAATATTGCTTTATTCTTCACCATGAAGAGCTCCTCGTTCTTACCAGCACCTCATCTTGAAGATGCTACTAACGCAATGGAAGCGATTGGTATCGAAGAAACAGTACAAGTTCGACGTAAGCCCAATATGACGGACAATGAACGACTTCTTATGGCCGATTTCCTGCTTAAACATAGCCAGGGTGAATCTCGATTACCCCGAGCAATCATTGCTGCAGCTGCAGATAAATTTCAAGTGCATCGCAATACGGTTTCACGTATCTGGAACCTAATGAAAGTGTCACTAGATGTTGGTGCATCCACTGATGTTGTACTCAAGCAAGTGTTGTCTAGAAAGCGTGGTAATTGTGGTCGCAAGAAGAAAGACTATTCAGCTGCACTGGAACGAGTCAAGCAGCTGCCTTTGAACCAGCGTGGCTCATTGCGAGCTTTATCTTCAGCTTTAGGTGTTCCACGTACGACACTCTTTCGTCTGCTTCGTAATGAGGGAACGAATAATAGCATCAGTGCGACTGATCATCAAGAAACGAGCTTGGAACTCAAGCCAACGATTGCCAACTCTATCAAAGCAGCACTGTCGGATAAGAATAAGAAGGAACGACTGCAGTTTTGCTGCAGTAAAATGCAGCCAAATGGGGTGTTTGATAACATGTTCAACATGGTGCATATTAATACCAAATGGTGCTCGTTACCGGGCAATCGCGACGCGAAGAAGAAGAAAATCATGTTCTTAATCGCTGTCGCTCGACCGCAATGGGATGCAGAGAAGCAGCAACAATTTGATGGAAAACTTGGTGTATGGCCGTTTGTGGTGGCTGAACCACCCTTACCACTTGGAACGTATACTGAGGCCAATGCGCTCAGTGTAGATCCATCACGAATCAGTCGTGTGTTTCGTGTGCTAGAGACAATCACGAAGAGGGAGATTCAAGCAATGATTACAACCTCTGTCATCCCGGCGATCAAGCTAAAGTTGCCAAGCTCTTTGCGCCGCGTACCGGTGTTGATCCAGATGGATAATCAGCAAGTGCGACTGACAGCTGACGACCCGATTGTAGCAGAACATGGCAGCACTGGTGGCTGGAACATTCGAGTGCAATATCAACCAGCTTACAGCCCTGAGCTGGTGGTACTAAATCATGGCTTCTTAAAGAGCATATATCCTGAAATGATTCCACCACAACTTCGTTGCCCGCAACTCCCTCTTGTTGAAGAACTCATTGCTGGAGTAGAGCGCACGTTTGCTGCATTACCCAAACGACAGATTAATGACGCCTTTTTGACGTTGCAGAAGACAATGGAGTGTATAATGCTAGCTGGTGGTTCCAATGACTTTGAGTCACAAGAAGGTGCGACCAAGAAGAGTTTGCAGAATGACGGCAGTCTGCCCGTGAGTGTATTATGCAAACGCGAAGCTTTGTTGTGTGTCAATCCATTTTGAAAGGCCTTTGTCAGAAGAATATCTACACTCTTGTCCTGTTACAAGAGCTCATTACTACCGATTGAATGCAATAAATGCATTGAAAGTAGTTATTAGTCTTCAGTTTGGCCAGGTATAATACATGATTGACAAGGACATGATGTTGAAGTTAGAGCGTGTGCACCACACAAAAGAGACAGAATACAATGACCTTTATTAGCCAATAAGAATGTTCAAGTGAGATTGCGTTCAGCTCAAACTGTCTCGTCCACGAAAAAAATGAGCATGAACGCACATCCGTCGAGTCTTGTTCCATCTTCAGAGCCGATTCCAGAGGTTCTTGTCGCTGTGGCAGATGATCCAATCATTGAAGAAGATTCGCTAGCTTTTTCTGTCTCTTCTGATAAAAAAACGAGCGCGTGGAAGGAACGAGGGAGCAAGAATTTAACGTATGAAGAACGTCGTTCGATGCTCGATTTTCTGTTAAAGCGACGCGTTGACGGCACGTCAAAGCTCGTGCGTCACGCTGTCACAGATGCTGCAACTAAGTTCTGTGTGGATCGTCGCACTGTCTCAAGACTATGGAAACGAGCGTTACAAAGTCTTGAAAATGGAGACGAAGTGTGTGATGTGGCATCACGAAAAATTGGACGTCGTGGTCGTCGGAAACGTGATTGGTCCGTGGAATTGGAGCGTGTAAAGGAGATTCCATTGGCTCAACGAGGATCGATTCGTGCGCTGGCTACGGCTGTTGGAATTCCCAAGACAACACTCTATGAGTTGTTGAAAGAGGACGGAGGTCCTACTATTAACTCGATCAAGCCGTCACTTACAGACAAGAATAAGCTCGAACGACTTCGATATTGTGCTAATAAAGTGCGATCCAATGGGCTTTTTGATGATATGTACAATGTTGTGCATATTAATATGAAGTGGTTTTCACTTCCTAAAGACAAGAAGACAAAGGTGATGTTCATGGCTGCAGTGGCGAGGCCACAATGGGATCCGCAGAAGACAGAGTATTTTGATGGCAAGATTGGCACGTGGCCATTTGTACGGGAAGAATTACAGGTTGTCGATGCAGATATGAAGTTTCCACAGGAAAGACTAGAGCAGACATTCGTTGCGTTAGAGACAGTGACGAAAGATGATGTCCAACGGATGATCACGGAATTGATTATCCCGGCTATTCGGCTGAGAATGCCGGTGCACCTTATGCATGGCCCTATTTATATCCAGCAAGATAGCGCCAAGATTCGATGCTCTAGTGATACGATGTTTGCTGAAGAAGGACGAAAGGAAGGCTGGAATATTCAAATGCAAAACCTGCCGCCGTATTCCCCGGACTTCGCCGTCATGGATAGCACCCTTTTCAAGCTGATCCAGGCTGCAATGAAAACATTTCCTCCTTCTTCCCATGCGGCAACGGTGTCTGGTCTCACGGTATTGATGTCTAATGTAGAGCAAGGGTTTGTTTTGCTGACGAAAGATCAAATTAACGACGCGTTTCTTTCGTTACAAAAGGCTATGGAATGTACGATGCGAGTTCAAGGCTCCAATACGTACGAGCTCGGCCCCACCAGCAAGGAACAGCTCCAACTGGAGGGTAGTCTACCTGTGAGCATATTGTGCGACCCTGATGCAATGTTAGCGTGTAGAGCCGTGCTCGATCACGTAACCGAGGAAACCCTCGAAACAATGTAGAAGAGCAGTGGCATGCCCAACGCTTACCAAATGCTTTGAAGTACGATGTGTTCTATCATTGTTTGGTGTCATGGCTAAATAGAACGATGCAAGGTGGCTCGTTAGCAATACTTGCGGATCATCAATGAATCATTCAATCAGTTTCTGCTACTGCCCGTCGAGCACTCTAGTACCGTTATCACTCGTGCCTTAAGCAACAAAAGGCGCACCAAGACTCCATGCAATGAAAGCAAACACCTCGGACGTCTCCTCGATGATCTTGGTGGTAGGTTTACCAGCTCCATGGCCGGACTTCGTGTCAATTCGGATGAGCAAGGGGTTCGTCTGCATTTCCGAGCTACCGAGCTGGTGCTGCAGCTCCGCAATAAGCTTGTATGAATGCAGGGGCACAACTCGGTCGTCATGATCACCGGTAGTCAAAAGCACTGACGGAAAACCTCCACGCTCTGCAAGCTTTTGCATGATCGGGCTATCAGCATGAGGAACGTTGTGAACCGGCGAGTACTGCCGAATATAGTCAAAGTCGTCTGCCACGTCCGGATCACCGTATTCCGTGCGCCACGCGTGCCCAATGGTAAACTTGTGGAAACGCAGCATGTCCATAACACCCACTGCACCAACCATACAACGATAGAGATCGGGGCGCTGGTTGCTGGCAGCCGCCACCAGCAGACCACCGTTAGAGCCGCCATGGATAGCAATCTTTTCTGAATTCGTGTAGCCTTCCTCAATAAGGTATTCGGCAGCACTGTGGAAATCATCGAACACATTCTGCTTCTTGTGCAGCATACCATCTTGGTGCCATTGCTCGCCGTACTCGCCACCACCGCGTAGGTTAGGCAGCGCCAGCATGCCATTAAAGTGCTGGACGAAAACAAGTCGCGAGACGCTAAAAGCCGGTGTCAGGGAGATGTTGAAGCCACCGTACCCGTAGAGGTACACTGGCAATTCACCATTCTTTGGCGCGTTCTTACGTTTCACAAGAAACATCGGAATCTTCGTACCATCCTTGGATGAGTAAAACACTTGCTTTGCCTCAAACTGACTCGGGTCAAAGCCCTTTACTTTCGTCTCACGAAACAGTTCAGCATCAGGCGCCATTCCTGAAGTTGTTCCTGTCTTCGAAAGATCGATGCGGAAGATAGACCCCGGGTACAGGAACGAGATGAAGTGGTAAAACAGCTCCGACTCTGTGCGCTTGCTGGCGACTCCAACAGTGCCGATACTGGGCAACGGAATCTCGTACTGGAATACACCATCAAGGTTGTACACGTGCAATTCATTGTGCACGTCCTTAACAAGCTGCACGACGAGCAGGTTTGGCGCAGCAGGATGCACGCCTTCAATCACGATAGCATCCGGCTGTTCAGGAATTACCTCTTCCCACACAGGAACAGCATTACCGTCGCCCAACTTGGTACGTACGACACGTTCGCGAGGAGCATCAACATTAGTCTTGAAGTAATAGTAATCACCATCATTCAGAATGTACGAGTACGCTGCATCCATATTATCGACAAGTTTCGTCACTGGAATCGTCGAGTCTTTTGGTCCTTTTAAAAAAGTCTCAAAGTCACTCAAATCTGCGACATGAAGCATATTGGCATTTTTGCATCCATCTTGCACGTACAAGAGCAACTTCTTGCCATCATCCGAGACCTCTGCACTAACATTAAACGTCGGTTCACTTGGGTAGGCATACACTAGTTTATCCTGACTTTGTGAGGTATGCAATGTGTGGTACCACAGCTGATGATTCATATTCGACTCTGTCTCCGTTCCTCTCTTTAAATCTTCATCCTCATGACATTGCTCACTTTTCATGGTCTCTGGAGGTGGATATCGGGAGTAAAAAAAGCCCTGATCATCATGAGTCCATGCAATTGTCGAAAATTTCACCCACTCGATTGTATCCTCCAGCATCTGATTCTTATCATGTACAGCCATGATTTTAATTGTCTGCCAGTCTGATCCACCACGTGAGATCCCATGGGCAAAAAAGAGCCGTCCATCGTGCAGTTTTGACTCGGAAAAAGCACGACTAGAGAGCGCTGCGGTCCCGTCTGCAGCCAACAGGTTTGGATCCAATAAAACACGTGGTTCACCTTGTAAATCATCCTGAATGTACAAAACACTTTGGTTCTGAAGACCATCATTCTTTGAAAAAACATATTTGTCTCCGTGCTTGTGAGGGGCCGAGAATTTTTCGTAATTAAAGAGTTCCGTCATCCGTGCTTTGGTTTCCGTCAAAAATGGAATTTCATGGTCAAAAATACGCTGGGTGACGTCATTTTGGTGCGTGATAAACTCACGCGTCTTGGACGAGTCGGGATCTTCAAGATATCGATACGGATCGACGACTTGGACGCCATGAAGATGCTCAACGAGGTGCTCGCGACGGACGGAAGGATACGTTAGTTTCTTGAGGGTTTGCATCATTGAAAAAGATCTTTTAGAAATGAAGGAAGGAATGTTTGAAGGAGGTTTACAATTACAAAGATGAAACATTCACTCCTGATTTTGTTTTATTTTGCTAAAATATAGCTTAAATATATTTTTGACATTAATTTAAAGCGAAAAGTTTGTGGAATCTTCTAAATAAATGTCAAAAATATATCTTGACATTGCCCTTTTTGACAGTCCTTTTTGACGATGTGGAATCAAGTATTGCGGCGCATTGTGCACGCGGAGGAGCGACAGCAGGAGGACCGTCGTCGACAGCAACTAGCACACGCAGCTTCCGCTGCGTCTTCTGCATCGACCAGTGCTAGTTTAAGCTCTCACCTTTCCGTAGAAGCTTCACAATCTTTACTAGAAGACGAGAAGTCTCAGACTGGAGGACGTTTTGTCGCTTCTAGTGAAAAAAACAAAGTGCTGGAGCCTACAAAGGCCGTAGAAAAAGATGGAGATGACAAGGAAGGTGCTGATTATCTGCAGAAACATTTGCTGTCGCGTCCGACGTCGTCGTGGAGCTGCCTTGAGGACACTCAGCAGGCCAATTGCTTGGCGTTGAACACGTCATACACGCTCATGGCGGTGGGTGAACGTGATGGACGTGTGACGATATGGGACAACACGACCATTCGTGTAATTACACGGGAATTGGATCCGACGCTTATTGCACTTCCGACGGTAGAATCGATTAAAGATGCCGACAAATTGAATGGACAGGAGAAAGAGACGGTCAAGACAAAGAGTGGAGAAAAGAAAAAGAACGAGACAAGCTTAGGAAATGATGAGCGGGTAGTGAAGAAGGATGACACGTCGGTGGAAGATGAAGGAGAAGAAAGGACGGACGATGTAGTGTCAGTCGAGGAAGACGTGGCGACGGAGGAAGAGGAAAAAGTCGACGCAGATGAGGACAAGACTCTAGAGACGACGATAGAGGATGAAGGAGATACGGTAGAAGGAGGAGCTGTATTGACGCTGGCAGATCTTCGAGTAGTGAGGACGGCACTAAAGGTGGTGTCTCAGTGTTGTTGGTCCTGCGATTCTCGGTGGCTTTTTGCTGGATGTGAGGAGAAATCGACACGACGAGCGAGGTTGTGTGTCTGGAACGTGGAAGCAGCGACGCTTGTTTCAGCGTTTAAATTTGATGGTACAATCACCTCGTTAAGTGCCCACCCTCTTGACCCGAAGATGGTACTCGTGAGTTATTGGAACTCGCGCCCAGTGCTGCTGAATATCGTCTCCGGTGAACGTACAGTACTGGAAAGTGTGCCACTGGAAAATGCAGAGATTACCCAGTCAACGCCTCAAAGCAACTCACGGCACCCTGTGCTTGCTTCTTGCGCGCGATACGGACATTCAGGGAAGCGCATCTACTGTGCTACGTCGAAATCGACACTTGCCGTGTTGGACGCTGTTACTTTGCAGTGTCTTGACAGTTTTAAGCTGAATGTAACCATCCAGTTCGTGGACGTTTGTGTGAACTTGCGTGAGACGGCAGTGCTACTTACAAGCTCGAAAGGTATTCACGAGTTTGTCATGAACCCTGCCGTGAAACCAGCCACTTCGAAGAATGTTCAAGACGTTAAGTCTATTATGGCAGCGGAGGAGCACCCACTTGGACTGCGCGAGGTGGCACTGCATTCAACTGGTGCAGTGCGCGCACCTTGGGCAGTTTGCTGCTTTAGTGGCGGTGAGGAGTTTGTGGTTGGTACACCTGTAGTGCGTCATCGGCACGTAGGTGAGAACGGCTTGTTTACGTGGCATCGAGCCTCCACTCTTGGCAAGACAACGGGTCAACACAACGTTGGGGTAAAAGATGGTGTATTGACGCTGACTTGGGATCGATTGAGACAGAGTGTGATTGCTGTCTCTACCAGCGGAGCTCTGCACGTGCTTGAGGAGAAATTTACGACAACGTGGCCAGGAGCGATGTATCCTGCAGGTTTCCGTCTTATCACCGACAATGAACTGCACTTAGACGTGCTCGATCGTGACGTCGAAGAGCGAAAAATTGAGAAGGAGAAACTCACTGAAGCGGCAAAGCATACTCCAGTTGATGTGTTCACTGTAATGAACTTGCGTTCGGAGTTTCAAGGTGAATGCGATTTTGCTGGTGCATTTCTTTCCGAGAGCTCGTTTGATAAACTGTGCTACATTCCAGCCATTCCTATTGCTCATTACCATCGCCGACATCTACACCAACATCATGAAGGAGCCTTTGACGAAGATAGGCATTTTGGTCTCGGGCAGAGCGTTTTTGAGCCGCTCAAGGATGCAATGGACAAGCAAAAGAAGGGGAACGCTCGAAAACTGAGCAGTGGCGGCATCAACAGGAACCTGAAGCGGCGGCGCAAATAAATGACAGCTAGAGTTGTATTTACTACGCTCTTGGAGCTGAGCGTGAGGCAGGTAATTTATGAAATGATGTCAAATTGACTTCCGTCTGCCTATACAATGGTGTTTCGTTCGACAGCAGCGCTAGTTTGTGGTCTGCTCTATTTTCGGGCATCAACCACCGCGGAGACACCGAAGGAGATGCGGCTCAATGTGCCCCATGTTCCTGCTGGGGTGTTCTTGGGCTACGAAGCACTGTCGAAGGCGTACAATGCGTCAGCGCGCAGCAGCACGAACACCATTGTTAAGGGTTTAAGGAAGATGTCTTCAAGTCTAATTCCTGTTGGGACATCCTTTCGTCTCGTTGAAGCATCATGGGAAACAAGAGCTTGCACTGTCCTCTGAGAAGCAAGTATAAACACGCAGCACGCGTAAATACTTTAGGCCACGATCATCTTGGCTAGTATTACCGACAATACGGTCGCATATCTCGAAGCACAGTCACTAGGTCTCATCGCAGTCGGTACCTCTCTCTCTTCGTCTTCAGCTCCTGCATTGGTTGGCGATTTGTGCGCCCGAAACGTTCGCCTTGATTCACTTCACTATTACTGGATCAATTATATCCACCGCTTGAAGCGTATGCTCAAGCGTAGGAATACTTCGCCACCGACTTTCAACTGCTCTCATGTCTTACGTCGTTTGGTAGTGGTAGCACCTTGACGCATTCAAAATCACTGAAAGGATCGAAAGTACCAGACTTGAGCACCGCATGACTTCAGCTAGGACTCGCGGCTCGTACAGGCACCACAGCACTGGACCGCTTTCGCTTTCGCTTTCTAGGCAGAAAGGTTGCTTGAACTCTGGCGCAACTTCATATGTCTATAAGGCAATAACCTGTACAATGAGCCGTGAGCATATCTTCCTTGGAAATTGCAGCCAGGAAAACTTAAACCATTTTGAGTCTGCATTTCCGGATGCTAGCATCTTCGAGGACTCACCGTCCTTAGCGCTCGAGTTTCCTACCTTCTGATCCTTGTCCATGCTATGACTGATGAAGCACTTCGTACTGCTTACTTGGCCAATGAATTTGGTTGCTCAAATTCGGCGCTGGAGATTTCAAAATGAACTATTCGCTGGCCAGCGATGTCAAGAGAATCGAACCGATGGAAGGAAGACGTTCGTTGTCAGAGCGCATGGTGGCTAAACGCACTTCGTTTTCTATGCTGATCTTGATAGGTCGCAAGTAGGCCGTCTTCGTCTGGCTCAATGGCAACACGTCATGGACTAAACGTGTGGTGCTTGCCATCGCTAGTGTCGATCACCCCGATTTCAAAATGTAAAAGTCTGCACGAACACACTAGAGCGCAAGCTGTCGAAAGGTATCAGCAAGAGTCATCATCGACTGCTGACTAGTCGCGTCTAGATGAATGCCTGCAGCGCGCGTTGACATTTCCAGCATAAAATCGGTAACGTACACTCGCGTGCTGTCGAAGTAGCGACAGATCCACGTGGTCCTCTGCAATTGGCTTGTCGACATCTCTCTCGGCTTCGCTTGCTTCAGCAGCTTTGCCTTCTCGTAGCTGTACGTCATACACTTGCGTACCAACGCAATGCCAGAACGAGGCTTCTTTCGTCGTCGACTGCCGCTGCAACTAATACCAGTAGATTCATTGCCTCGAAATAAATCTGTTGTCCCATCCAAACGAGATTCGTCGTACTCGAGCACAGGAATCACCTGGCTGACAAAGTCTAACATGAGCTCGATCTGCGCTGCCATTACTCGCTCGGCAGCATCACTCTCCGCGTTGTCGTTGTCATCCATCGGCTCACCTAACGCCTCGATATCTCGCGCTACTTCCTCAACAACCGAGCTAAAGCGCACCTGGACTTCGTTGTAAAAAGCGTCATCGCCACCGTAGAGCACATCATTCGAGTCTACACCATCAAGACGACCTGGTAGCGATTGCTGCGCCCATAACGCATAGACTTCAGCAAGCATGAGTAACACGCGCACACGTGCGACACCAGCTTCGAGTCGATGTGACAGCGACGGCGAGTTCCGCGGAATCCATGTCATCCGCTCCAGAACAGCTTTGCGCAGCGCAGTAATATAATAGAACGCATCTTCGTCGTTCAATGATGGAGCATACACCAATACGCTCATCAACTGACCGACTACTTGCACGACCTCATCGATTTTATAGTTGCTACTGATGCCCACCACACCAAACAGTCTGACAGCAGCAGCGTGAGTTGGAGCGCCAAAAGTCAACATTCCCGAATCTGTATCGCAATTGAAGCTAGGCCGCACAGCACTTAAATCAATATCTGCGAGCATTACGATGGCAGCTTTCACCATTGAGTCCATCTGCGGTATGCAACTCGTTACCAGCGCTACATTTGCCGCCGAGACCATGAGTTGCAATTTTTCCAACGGCGTATCTATCGATGGAATCGTAACGTGCGCGAATGCTAAGCAGGATTGAATAAAGCTCCGACGCGCGTGAACACGCTTCTTGCTCCCATTTGCCAGCACAGCCTTACCGCTAATACGCTTGTGAGCGTGCATCGCTAGCCGGAGAACCATCGCTATCAGCAGCATCTTGATCTGATCCAGCTTGTAAAATGCGCGACGGCAGTCTGTGTAAAGCATGAGTAACGCTTCCTGTTTCTCAATTTGTGCTCGTTCACTCACAGCAGAGCTTTCGTTTACGTATCCAAGTCGTGTAATGAAGGCCGATATGTCACGGCTAGCCTCAGCATGCTCTGACACAGTACTGAGTGAGTTAAGCGCATCGTGCACGCGACAACAGACAACCAAGAGTGTGTGCGCCACAGCTGCCTCTGGACCAACGACGTGGAGTCGTAAGGTGCCTGAACGGTTGGACGATTTTTTCATGTTTCCTCCAACAAAAGCTCGCAATACTTTCTTCGCCACATTCACACTCGATTCTCGCTTAAACATGTCCATGATAGTCTACATACAACAGCAGATACGCGTGAGCGTCGAAAGACTAAGCAGGTCTTACACGCTCGGACACTTACCAAAAATGGTGTAGACGGGATGAGTTTCGAGAAGAACTCGTAATGCTGCTTAGCCCCGAAAACAGCATTTTCAATAAGGGCACCAAGTAAATTGTACGTTTTTGCTGTAAGCTCCTTGGGTGTTGCTGCGTTAAGGTGGCGAACAACATCCTTAAGGAGGATGAGGGCCTCGCGGTGCTGTCACCATGAAACACCAACATTAATATCATTTACTATTTGTCGCCCGATATAATGAATAGGTCTATCAGTCGACGTACCGAAAAGTGAGCCACAATGAGCTTCATGTAAGCCGCTGCACATTCCATATACTGCGTGATGTCTTCTTGAGAAGTGATCGAAGACCACGAACTGTTTAAAAACTGCAATTTTCCACCTGACTCATTCTCGGCGATTACAGGCACATTGCTAAGTTGCACTGCAACCAGACTATACAGATGACACTTGGAAACAAGAGATGGGGAAGATGTGCGAATTAGCTCCAATATTTCGGTGGGCGTCGAGGCGTAAAATTGGGCACCCAAACATTCGCACAAGTGCTTTAACACCATGGAACTGTCAAAATACTCCTGAGAGTGTGCCAACAGCGAATCGAAGGTGTCCTGGCTGGCACCTGGAGCCGCACATTTGAAAAGCCACTCTACTGCAGGTGAATGAAGCGCCAGGTACTCTCCATATTCCATTTTGTGCGTACGTAACCAGTGCTCAAGCTTGTGTTGGCGAAACCAATTGAACGCGTAAAAGTAGTCGAACAGGCTGCTGCTCACTACAATAGTCTGATCAGCTGGCAAAGAGGTACCTAGCAGCTCCGAACTGGTTAACGATAGATATAGGCGTGCGTACAACGCAACCATTGGCTCACCAACACCTCTAACGATTGGCATGGAATAAGGAAAGTAACGCAGCATTAGACACAATTACACATGCAGGCCAAAAACAATAGCAGAGGATTATATACTTGATCATGTTTGATAGCCGTGCTACAATTTGCGGATACTCGCCATCACAAAGAAAGCGATAACACCCAAGCAATGCAACCTCGATGTAACTATACAGACATAACAGTTAAGCAGCATAACTAAATGCCAGCAAAGTTTTCATAAAACAAACAGCAACGTACATTCGAGGAAGAAGTTCTCGAATGCAAGCCGATTTGTAAAACCAATTGCGACACGTTTCAGTCGCTTGGACATTAATGTCCGAGCTCGTAAAGTGTTCTCCTAGTACTTCTGGAAGAGGCAGGCCATTTTCGTCCTCAGACGCTCGTGCATGAATACGATCAAACACAAGCTTTCCAAACGTATCCAGTACTTCACTCACCAACACAAACACGCATGGGTACAACTGAGGTGCTGTGTGAATATCTGCAAGCAATTTCACACACTTGATTGCAATACGTAGTGCCTCAACTTTATAATTGTGTTCCCAGCTAGTAACTAATTTCTTTTGCATTTCTTTTACTTTAGCCACATATTGACTTTGAGAAATTTCAATTGTTTCTTCGTCTTGTCCCGACAAAGACCGATTTTTCTCAGGTCCACGATCCAACTGTTCCAACCTTGTACGTGTTTTCTTAATCACTGATGCCTCTACAAGGTCATCCTTCATCTGATACTCACTTTTTGGTACACATAAGATTTCATTCTCCAGCTCATTCACTTCAAACATACTCGCTTTAATTTTAAACGTATGGTCAGCATATTTCGCCAATAGACGGTCCGTATGCTCTTTCCACTTGTGTTTGACTGTACTTGGTATTACTATTGGAATCGAATGAACGAAATCAATTGACGTCGATACATTCACGTCTGGAAACTCGGAATGCGTCATTTTTCCGGCAGTTGACGACGAGAGAGCACCCAGAGGATCCATATCTCCATCTTGTAGCACCACAAGCTCCATTGACGCTCCACTACCGCTTTTTTTGCTCGATAACGAGTCATTAAACGTACAAGACGGAGAAGCCGATGGAAGTGTCAGATTTACCGGTTTCAAGCTGGAATTAGACGTCACAATAGCTAATGGATGTGATTCTTTGGTTAATAAAACATGTAGTGGTAGATTACGACGTGACTGAGGCACTTGACGCTCTCCCACGCGCCATTTAACGACCTGGGACGTCATCGGAAGCTCGTGGTCTGTTTTTGTTATTGTCAATCTAGAAATGGAAGAAATAGAGCGCAATGATTGGTTATAAATAAAACCTCGTTTCGACCAATGAAAACGTTTTCATTTAGACGCTCAAGTCCCTGCCAAGCATCACACGGTCGAGGTGAAGGAAGTTCGATACGTCGCCGTGACGCCGGTAATAGATCCTATTTGCTTTATCGATAGGGTATTTGCATAGAAGAGGTACATTCATACGCAATATGACGTGAAAATTCTCTTCGTTTCTAACTAAAAACAGTAAATTTGCTGTAAGATCTTACTCTATTACTTGTGCTGCAATCATTTAGAGACACTTTCTACCCTATACAAAGTACAAGATGTTTGGCGCGACTACAGGATCGACGCAGCCAGCGGCTACTGGCTTTAACTTTGGCGGAGGGGCAGCTGCAACACCTTCTAGTGGGTTCAGTTTTGGTGCCACGCCAGCGAAGACTACAGGGTTCGGTTTTGGGGGAGCTGCGACGTCTTCGGCCCCTTCCACTGGCTCGACGGGGTTTAGTTTTGGAGCGACGCCCGCTACGGCTCCTGCTACTTCCAGTGGCTTTTCTTTTGGTGCTACGCCTGCTGCAGCTCCTGCTACTTCCAGTGGCTTTTCCTTTGGTGCTACGCCTGCTGCAGCTCCTGCTACTTCTAGTGGCTTTTCCTTTGGTGCTACGCCCGCTGCGGCTCCTGCTGCTTCTAGTGGCTTTTCCTTTGGTGCTACGCCTGTTGCGGCACCGGCTGCATCATCTAGTGGCTTTTCCTTTGGAGCTACGCCTGCTGCGGCTCCTGCTGCTGCTCCTAGTACTGGATTCAGTTTTGGAGGTACCAGTGCAGTTCCGTCTGTTGGTGGTGGTGGCAGCTTTAATTTTGGTGGAACGGCTGCACCTGCTGCATCATCTAGTGGATTTAACTTTGGTGGGACAAGTGCAGCCCCGGCTGCTGCTAACTCTGGTTTTAACTTGGGTGCCACGGCGCCAGCTACTAGCACAGCACCATCGTTTGGATTTGGTGCCACTTCTGTTGCAAAACCTGCACTTTTTGGACAGCAGCCTTCAGCCACTAGCACCACCACGACGGGATTTGGAGGTGGCTTTGGAGCAACTACAGGCACTGGGTTCGGGTTCGGCACAGGGAATGGTACTACTGGAACTGGCACAGGCACAACAGGGTCGTGGAATTTCGGCGGTAATGGTTTCGGCACTGCAACACCTGGCGCAGCGCCTTCTAGCCTTGTTGCTGCCTCAACTGCTCCAGCTCCGATCATCCTGGGTGCAGATGCCTCTGTTGCTCAGCTGAACACAGTCAAGGCTGCATACCAGGATCTTACTCAGTCACGCTTCAAGTTTCTCATGTACAACACTGTTGATCCGACGCAGCGACATTTGTACGTTCGACCACCATACATCAGTGAACGCTTGTGGAATCAGGCAGAGCTGGACAACCCAGATCCGCTTAACTGCACACCTGTCCCTATCTTGGGTTTTGATAATCTGCTCAAGCGTATTAAGGCGCAACAGGAGCATGCGGAGAAGTACAACAAGTACACGGATGACCTACGAGCACAACTTAATGAGATGGACAAACACACGCGGGCGACAGAGGAAAAGCTTGAAAAATGCCGCCACGAGCATGTGCAGCTCTTTCACGCGCTAGTAAAGGTCATGCGAGACATTGAGCTTTTACAGAATTACGGCAAGCCACTTCAACGCGAAGAGATGCAGCTGGCGTACGTTGATGTCGGTCATGCGATCGCATTTAGCACTTGAGGCTAATTTAATGTCTTTACGTCTTGGTTGATCTACACAGGATGATGTTGAAGAAGCTTCAGACACTGTTGGACTCGCCAGGTCAGTACAAAGCACGGCTGAATGATGCTGTCTCACTTCAGCGTGTTCAGAAAACGGCACTACCTCCTCCGACAAATCAACTCAGCCCGCAAGACCTGCAGCGACTCTATGAGGTGCGTATGATGATGTCCTAATACTGGGAAACATGTTGACACGTGCTTGCATTTCACAGCTTATGAACAAACAGAGACAGGGACTGGAACACCTGACAAACATTGTCAACGATGACCTCGCGGACATTGAGCTCATTAAGGAAACCTGGCGACGATAGGCAGATCGCATTCGATCATCCATCCTGCCATCTTGTGCACACTTGCGTCGCATCGCGCTAATAAATGACGAAAGTCGTAGCTTTTTGCCATCGACATGTTCATTGTCTTTGTGTCGTACCCCATGACTGCATCAGTGCACAAGAATGACATAGACAACGCAGTGAAGCGCGAGAGAGATAGAAGAAGCAAACATGCATGCATGTTCATGAAAAGTTACCAGACTGTGTTTGTTTTTTCTCTGAATATGTAACTTCTGTCTTCATGCTTATGCATGCCCAACACCATCATGTGATGAAATTATCAAAGCCTCAAGATCTCAAATCTAGTGGTACGGGTCCACGTCACCGTACGTCTCAATGACCAGAGGGGCTTCATCGAACTGGTGAAGAGGAGGGGGTGACGATAGACACCACTCCAGCGTCTGATGGACTTCCGGAATCACAACCTGAGGGTCTTCAGTGGGCGTGTTTTGCTCAGGGACACCATACACTTTGCCGTCGGTGGAGAACCGAGCGATAGCGGGACGAATAGCGGCCGTAGTGTTTACTATAGAAAAGAAGTACAAGATGAGACAAAGAGCACGAGATTGAAGCCAATTTTGCTCAGTTTAGAGCAAATGGAACGTGAAAAGAGAGAGGGGGAAGAGAACGTTGACATACCGGTCTTTAGAGCACGCATGGAGTGGCGAATAAGGCTCATTATGCAAGAAGTAGGGGCTCGTTTCTCGTGGTTTCTTGATTCCGAGGAGCTCTTTCAGGACTGGTAGGAGGAGGAGAAGTCCCTTATTACGCAACTATTTTGTAAGTATAATGCGCTTAGAAGAGCTATTGTACACCCTTATTGGGAAACTAACTGTAGTAACGTCGTCCGGGGACAGTAGCTGTCGGTGGCGCGATGAGACTTGCCTGTCACCAAACAGCATGTAATATGCTATGGAACCGAAGGTGTCCGATTCGTTACTGGTAGTAGATGAAGTACTTTAAATGGTCTTTAAGCAAAAGTAAAAATGAGGATAGAGAGATATCAATTGGCATAAAGAGAACCGATGCATCAAGATCGACTCTTTCCCATTGCCAAAGGATTTGACAAGTGACCAAACAGCGGCTGCAAAATGCGATTGTTGAATGGCATGACATCGCTGGATTGTCATGTCAGTGTCACTGTTGGCTACATTTTAACGAATGTCATCATTATCCAGTCTCAAACCATTAGTTAACCATCTCACAGTAGGGTCGACTCTCAATTATAGTGTGGCAACTGGATACTTCTGTGGACCGTGACGTTCCGGCAAAGGCCTTGCAGTAGTGCTACTTTTAGTAGTGCTCCTTACTCTTTTTACATTAGGATTGCATGCCTCGTTTGACATACTGCCAGAGCACATGCAAGCCATCTTATAAAGCCACCATTTTACCTCGAGACTACGCACCTAAGCGTTTCGTAAGAAACTTAACCATATATGGGATTTACTATGCTAACATAGAGATGTGAAGTATACAAGTACTCGTTGAGTTCGCGTATATGACAGTACACCAAACGCCAGCTCAAATTCCTCCAATCAAAACTCGTCACTGATGAATATTTCCACCAATCCTAGAAGCCACTCATTTCAAGCCTCAGATAAACCTCGGTAAGAAACCGGTTGTGCCAAGGGTTTTCCGTATTTTGTCGAATGGCCGCGCTTCGCCACTCATTATTGGATTTTAATTCGCAACGGCGTTCAACGACAGGAAGAAAACCCCCTCCTACTAAAAGCTACTTCGAGCAGCAGTCATGTCGGATGATGATAAGCCGACGACAGACATCACACTTAAAGACGGCGACTTGGATCAGCAGCAACAACAAGCGTTTCTTCAGCAGCAGCTTCAGCAGCAACAGTTACAGCTTCTCCAATTACAGCAGCAACAACTTCAAAGCTTGAGTCAGAACATGAGTCCTAACGAACTTGCAGCGTTGCAGCAACAGCAACTAGCGCTCTTTATGATGCCAATGTTTCCTCTTATGATGCCGTTGCAGCAACAAGCACTAACGTCAGCTTCTACGATTCCAGCAACGAATTCAGACACGTCGTCCGAGGAGACGTCTGTGGAGGCTGCAATAGCTTCAGACGAGGCTGTTTCCATAGCTGCCGAGTCTGCAGCTGCTGCTTCATCTTCAACAGCAGGTGGTGAAGTGTCACTATCTTATTCATCAGCGTCTGCTGAATCTATGGGATTCACGTCGCCTTTTGGGGCTACGGACGGATTTGGATTGTTGTCTGGGACCAACACTGCATCACTTAATATGGATGAAGTACCTAAACGGAAGCGGGGTCGACCACCCAAAAAGGATGTAGCTGCACGAGCAAAGGCAGAAGCAGAGAAGACACTGAAGCAGCAGTTTCCTATGTGGGGCTATGGATTACCCATGCCGCTACTACCAGGTTTCTCAGGCATGCTGCCTGGTATGTCAAATCCTGGTGCTGTTGTGAAGGACCATTGTGCTTCTGATGATCGGATAATAAAAGAGGAAAATGAAGATGTTGAACGCCCGGTCAAGGTGGCGAAAAAGAAACAGCGTGGGACAGGAAAACCTCGGGGTCGACCACGCACACGTCCTCGTCCGGGCGAGATTATTCGTCGTGTCAAACCGCTCCCTATTGCGCCTGCAAGCTATTCCGTCATGTACAACTATTCTCTCTCCAATCTGGCACAGAGGAGCATGGAACTAAATGCCGATGGTACCATGGCTAACACGGAAACTTCGACGATCTCGGACGAAGCACAGGACGAGGATCGACTGGTGCCGCTTAGCGCGTCGTTATTATCTGGAGAGCACGAGTAAGATCTACTATCTGTAACTTCATATGATGATTTGCAATGTCGACAAGTAGCGAGCGCTTTCATATCGTGTGCGTGTTTACAATTCCTGTCCAAGTACGTGCCGCATCAAATTCATGATGTTTTACTGTATGCATGAACAAGATATCTATATGGTCCGGCTTGTGCGCAAACATCGAGTGAGCTAGCACGCTTGGACAAATAAATAAAGAAGCTTGTGGCACTCTAATGCTCGGCCGTCTTCACGGGCGAGCATGCGTCATTTGACTTGACCCTACGTAACCTGAACTGCACCACGGTATAAAGGTGCTCTAGAAGAAAACTTCTTCGTCACCGTCGTTGCTTTCAGCATCACTGTCGTAGTAGTCGAACGTATAATCGTTCATGTCGTCACCTAAATCCTCGTCCACATCATCCATCATGCCGTCATCTATCTCCTGCTCTGCTGCCTTGGCCTTGTCTGCCGCAATTTTCGTCTCCTGAGCTTCTAATGATTTAAACACCGTTTCAAACGCACGCGGCTGCATGATGCCGCGATTCGTCGAGCCTGCAGTTGCCGATGTGCGCAGTCCACTGAGTGAATTGGCTCGTAGCTCCTCTGGCACGTAAATCTCATTAGCCTTTTGAGTCTCGGGCACTGTCACGTGCACAAAAGCAGTAACATCCGACGTATTGCGTCCAGCATCGGGACCTGCCGGGTCAGCTTCCCACGGGTGGTACAGACTCTCGAGCTTGTGCGCCAAGATACGTTGTCTTTGGATTAAATAGGCATCACCATCAGCCAGTGCTTCAGGGTGTGGTAACTGCATTGGCGGGTACAGTGACGCACCAGCTTCCGCCTGTATCAACATCAGTAGTAATGTCATATAAGACCCGACAATGTTTCTTAACAAAGCGAGAGAGTATTCATCCGTACATGCAGCAGTTCCATTTGCATATGCGAGAGTCCCAAGTCCTCCCGTGTCTCATCCATGATATCTGCAAGCATTGAGTCTCGACTACCGCCGAAGCGCACGCGACTGCGACCACGTCCTCGGCTCATTTGCAACGAATGCTTTACCGCCAAGAGATTTAAGTATGCTGTATCCTAGTTTTCAGCCTTCGTTTTTAAATAATAAAGACTCGTATCTTATTCTTCATTTTTTATGGTGGTGGTGCTATATGTATGTAAACGCGTAACGCAAATCGTCTTGCCCCTCATCATTGCGACTTCATCCGACGTTCTACGTCGGGAGGCCAAAGGAATTTCGTCCGGCTACGCTTCACGGCTTGGCTCCGATGCCGGCTCCAGGGGTCCGTAGGTCGATCAGCCTTCCCGTCGCGCTCGACGCACCGATGACATCGGGCGCGGTTGCGATGCCGTCTGTGCACGACCAAAAGCCTGACGCTCGAAAACCCTCATCCGTTCGAGCAGTTTACGGTTCGACTGCCGGATCTCATTCGCGATCTTTTCCGCCTGGACAGCACGATCATGGGCAGCCCCAGCTTCCAGCTGAGCATTGGCAGCTTTGTTCACGGCCTGATCAACATCGTCCTGAGCAGCCAGGACACCAGAACTACCATCGTGAGGGCCCACCTCCGCTTGTTGGTGCGTATAATAGGTGCGCTGGATTGTAGACCGCATTGTGGGTCACGAAGACCCTCTCCAAACATGGCTACAGTCGGATCATGAGAAGCGCGCGGTTCCATCCGCGCGCAGGTACCGTGTACGCTGGCTTGGATTACCTCCCTTCGGGTAAGAGGCCTTTTTTCTGGATGCCTTAGCACCAGCAGCAAGTTTGGCATAGCAGCGAGCCATCATATGGCCGGGCTTGCCGCACCTGTAGGAGACCACGTCTGCATTGCCTAACTCCATTGGAGTGGCATCCAGCTTCTCGGTCAACGGCTTATACTAAGCTGTCGCCGAGGCACTGTTGTAGGATTGCTCCTAAACCATGGCAATTTCAATTGCCTCCTCCATCGTCTTTGGCACCTTTCTAAAAAGGGCCTGACGTGATGGGCCGTGCCGTAGTCCGTTCATGAACGTAGGCACCTTAATGTGTTCCGGTATCGGACCCACATTAATGGACGCAGACAGCGAACGCATCTCCTGCACATACTCTTGCAGAGATCGTTTCGCCTGTCGTGCTCCAAAGAAGCGCGCCTGAAGTAACACTTCATTGTTAGGCGAATGATACATGGCGAAAATCTTTGATCTAAAGAACGTCCATGATGGAAACGCATCAGCGTTTGACATAAGAGCAGAGTAAGCCCACTCTGACGCTTTGCCACGCAAATTTGAGATCGCATACGACACCATCCTGGTGTCTTCTTCAATGAGCTGCGCCATACCGCTCTGCTCCACGGCTAAAAGCCAGTGGACAATCGTATGTGGGGCAGTCCCATTAAACTTCGGAGGGTCCATCCGAATGGGCCTTGGCTGATTAGGCCGGGCAGAGAGCGTCTCAACAGTTCTGTTGATCGCCTCATTCCGTGCTTGCTCAAGCCTAAGCTCATCCTGAGTCTTAGTGATGGACTCAGCCGTTGCTTGGCTGTTTACCTCGGACGCGTTTCTACGCTGTCCGAGCACAAACGCCTCGAATTGTTCCAACTGAGCAACATGTTGCTCGGGAGGACAATGCAAGAGATTGGCCAGGGCTTGTTCACCAAGTCCCTGTACCAAGTGCTCTGCCCACCTTCCTATGATGTTGGAAGAGGTGAGGAAAATCACCCCAATCCATACTGACGGACATCCGTATCCACACGCACGTGCGCAGTGGGCGATAGTTAGCAAATTTAAGACTGACCTATATTTAATAGGTTTTAAACTATATATAAGTCTAACAACTGATTGGTCAAATGTAAAGATTGGATACGCGTCTCTTTAGAAGCGTATCCTTACGTGCAAGCTTACAAATTGTAAGCTACAATATATTTAAGCTCGCTGATGACGTGTGTCTGAAGCGTCACCATGACGCCCAGTCCCAACTGGCGTCATCCTCGTTGAATGTGAATCCATCCATGGATATCACATTCACGAGGGTGGGTCACATTGACAGGCCTAAGGTACCTCGTACCCATTAAGGCAGGCCTGCCCGTTAAGTATCGGATACTTGACGAACCATGTAACTTTTAGCCTGTCACAATGCCTGTAGTGTTGGGCTAATGTGTACATGGTCTTTGCAAGCAAGTTAAGCTGCACCAACACAACAACATGATACGCATGGTATGCTTAAAGTACTGCTCATGCTTGTTTGAAGCATATCACGCTACAAAGATTAGGAACGCACAGTCACCTCAGGTTACGCTTCATTTTAATCTGGTTTTCTACACTCAGTCGTGAATTGTATAGTATGTCACAATGCGCTCCAAGATAAGCCCACACTTCTCGTTATGACTTTCGTGCTTCTTCTTGTTGCTGCCAGCTCTTCAAAAAATTTCGCACTTCGCAGCAAAACACGAATGGAAGCTCAGCTGCAATCGCCTCGGCTCCCTGCAACCGCTTTCACATTTCCATTTCGTTGTCGCTTACGGTCTCTACCTCCTTTTTCGATGCGTCTCACCTTGTCGTTAGTCCTAATGTCCAAATTCTTTACAGATTCTGTCTCGAATTCTTCCTTCATGCTCTCGTCCAATTCCTCATTATCATTGCCATCATCAGCATCCTCATCCAACTTTTTTTCGGCATCAGCAGCAAAACGATTTTCAACCGCGTGGACGTCAGTCAGATCGACATTGGTAGCGGCGTCACGATAAGCTGCGAGTTTGTCCTTTTTTGGCTCTCTTCTTGCCCTTCTTGCTCTTGCGCAATCCTGCGTCGTCGCTGTTATCAATGTCATCAACATCAGCCCTGTGCATACGCAACACATGCTCCCTTTCAAGTCGATAAAGACGGTCACGTTCCTTCGCAGCAGTCTCCTTCGACAACATTCGTCTCTCCGTTGCCTTGGTCTCAAAGACAAGTTCCCGCGTTATTTTGCCAAAGCCGTCCATCGGCTCCGGTAACACTCGCCATTGGCAAAACTCAAGCAATCCACGCCGATCCGCAAACGCTTCATCCATTTGTCCGTAGCATCTTCCTGCGAGTGTTCATTTCTCTGCCACACCACCTTGTACACTTTTGCCTTCACCGCGAGTTCCTGCATCACTTCTTTGCATGTCTTCCTCTTCCCATCGTCTTCCTCAATTCCTGGTGCCTCAGCGTTTCCGTTGCCACCTCCGAAGTGGAGTTAGCTGACAATGTCCCTTTCATATCCCTTTTTTCCTCGAGTCATTCTCCTCGTCCAATAACCCGTTCACATTGTAAGTATCGTAGTCATCGTCTATCCTATCCTTCATTCACCATGTAGGGTCCTATTCACCAAGACGCTTGCCCTCAAACACATTGCTCTTGTTGCGGGCCTTGAACGCAGCGCCAAGCAAACGTCTTGTAACGTTAACGTCTGACTTCGGCAAGCGCGGCCGGCCTGTGCCTTTCACCTGACGACCAATGACCTCAAGCTTGGCGTTGCTGCGTTTGTCAAACGGTTTATCGTGAGCTACTGGCGCGCAAGAAGCACTTCTGCTTCTTCCGAGTAGACATTTTCTACCTCCGCCCTTTTTAATCACTTGACAAGGAGAGAGAGAACCAAAGAAGCAAGTAAAGAGAGAACACAGACGTAGATGTCAACGAGAGCCAAGACTTTCACACAACTGGTAAAGAGATTTGCAGGTCTGCGAACAAGTTTGACGGCCAATACCAGTCAAACGGGAATGGTATTATGCCCAGAATGCAGGCGGGTAAAATTAGTACTAAGGCACATCATTGACGAAGGCTACAAAACCCCGGAGACTGATCATAAACAGGATTACGGTGATCTTTCTGGCTGAGTATCGGCCACTTTGAGCAAACCGAGCTTGCACAGTAGCTGTATACACATGCAGAAATAAAAGATGAATACCTTGCATTGCTGAGACTACCTTTACAATTGGATTGCCAATTCCACTCGACAAGTTCACATGTTTAAAGCGAGACACATCATTTCTGTCATGATAGATGGAGCGCTAATAGGTCTCTGTTCTAGACATGACTTTTTTGTTGGCTGTCCTGTGTCAACAAGATTGGCTAGACGGTTGGTTATCTCCTTAGTAGAAACTGCTAGTCTCTTTTATACTCTTTTTTAAAGAAAGTATAAGAATAAGATTAGCAGACAATATATAGAATAACAAGTGCATTTTGCCCATCCGTAAACTGGCTTCATTCAAAAGTACGACAGATATTGCACCGTATACCTGACGATTCGAGAGACTCATTCCCTCTGCGTCACTTTCCATTCACCTCGATCAGCTCTAGAACTTCGCCAAGCCATCTACGATTATGCACTTTCACTTCACCACGCTATGCGTGGCTTTTGCTGCCTGTCGAGTCTCTGGTTCACTTGCAGCGCCATCCCGTAGCATCGCCAAATCACCTCGCTCTCTACGTGAAGTGCCCACTAAAAAACATTCGGGAGCGGATAAGCTTGAATCCGACGAAGAAGAGAGGTCTGGCAACATATCATGTGAAGTTGAAGGAATCGTGGGGGAAGCAAGCAAGTCATTGACGGAATCCAAGTTGGTGAATGCTTGGAACCGATTAAATATAAGAGAAGGGAACTACTTAATTTGCTGAATCACTGGGATCAAATTTCTCACTCGTATGAGACGAATGGAAGAAGGCCACAAATTTACCAAAGAAAGTTTCGATGAAAGCTTGGAAAGAAAAGCGGAAGAATTCTAAAGACGAGACCAAATCCCTCAAGGATTTTCTGAATGACCGGAAACCGAAAGCGTTTGAAATCGAGTCCAGCACTGAACGGCTTCAGGCTTGGCTTGAAAACAAAGGATCACTAGACACTCTATTTACAGTGCTGGGACTTCACGAAGCGATGGACAGAGCGGCGAACGGTCTTTTGATTAGCATGAATTTGGAAAGGTGGAATTTTGTCATGAAATACTTGGACAAGACGGGCCACTACAACCTTCAAAATTCGCTTCAAGAAACCCTTACAGCTTTATGCGGAAATGAAAAGTGGGCAACTATTTTCTTGGAATGTCTTTTCCGCTTAAGAGACACAACAAATAAAGTTCAATTGATGTGGCTGCATGAGATGCGAAAACCGAAGGATATTTACGATGGGATGAAAATTGACAAAAAGGATCTGCTTACGGGCTCAAAGTTGGCAAACGAATGGATTGCTTACTTGGTCACCTACAACGACTTGTACCCACAGTCTCGCACACCTCTGAATGCTGTGGTGCCTGATTTCGAAATAGAGTACATACAAACGATCTTACCTAAAGTAAGCCAATATCCGACCCAGGGTGTTCAAAGGCAAATAGTAGGCGAGATCCTCAAGTCATGGGCTGATGCAAAGCCCCCCCCTTTCTCCTTTTGAAGTTTTCAATCATTTTAAAAAACCAGAGAGTCCAGAGTTGTCATCAGTGCCTCTATCAGCATTGAAAAAGTACCTGAGTTTAATCAAATTTGGAATGCAGCCGGATGAACAATTTGCGGTCAAGGAACTGGAGACAAGTTTAAACAATCTTCTCACTGTGCGATTGCGAAGCGACTCCGAAGAGATGAAGCTATTCTATGACCGCCTGAAAGCTCTTGGGTCAAAGAACCTATTTAAACGGAAACCGGAGTCTCCCCCTGAAAATGCACGTGACAGGCAACGTTCACGTGGTGAATAATGCTTGTCGAGGCATCACTACGAAACAGATACCCTCTAACCTGCTTGATGCTCCGGGAGAATATAAAAAAAGCTTTGTTGGATGGTATACAAACGGTTCCGATTAAAACGGTAAGGAAGAGGGATAAATAATGAGGGTGTCGAAAACAGGCATGTATACTGCAAGCTTAGGGTAGATGATATCATTCTACTACTTTTAATAACAATAACATGATCGCATTCCCATCAAAACAGACACTTCTTTTTTTCAACATATTAAGCATGTTGTACATTTTTCAATTAGCCGTCCTTTGCAATCCTAAACTCGGTAGAGACACAAGTCGATATTGTAGACAAGCAGCTTTGCGATTGCCAAATAAACTACGACAAATGCGAGCACATCTGAGATTTTAAATTTTCAAAGTGTTGTCGACGCAGACGCGCTCTTCGCGAATAGTAATGACAGCATTTAGCTGCTAGGGTACAGTTTCCAATACGCTTTTATTCTACAAAGAAAAACAAGCTATAACTCAACATCCGTTGTCTTAATCAGACAGTCCCATCCCATAACTTGTATAGCTCAATTAACGTTTCCAGTGAAAAGGTACTTGTCAACGACAGGTTAGCTTCAGCGAAACACCATAGTAAGCATTCGCGTGAGTCCGACAAATGTTTCATCATCAGAAGTGGGGTGACTACAATAACCCAAGCCTCAGTTCAGAGCCGAGGAACGACTCAGCTTCATTCGCAAATAACTGTGCTACGATTTCGTTGGAATCTCATTCCATCAGGACCAGCGACAGCTTCGAGATAATAGAAAAAGCTGTTCGTGTTGAGGTTGTGCGCAAAGCCTCGGTGAGGACTCACGTTCCGAGCAGATGAGATTCAGAAAGGAGTCAGAAATGTTGTTACACGCTGCAACAACTAATACAATTAGCAATGCGAAACGATAGGTCTCAAAAAAACGAACTGATCATCAACATCATTATCTCGAGACTAAGTCTCTTGTTAATCCACTTTCCTGACTCTTGTCGAGAGCTGAGTGCCACTTACAGACGAGTGACTTCCCAGGTCTCGACCGTGCGTTCCAGCACGTCTTCAGGCGTCGTGTCAAATGGTCCAGTTTCTGGTAGATAGACGACATGACAATGACAACGACAGCGACAAAAAAGCTGTCAGCTACGAGCCACCAACATAGAATGTTCAGCAGCAACGCACCTGCTCGTCGTGGGTTGTGGCGTTCCTTAAGGACGGCAGGCTTAGGAATGATGGTGCCCGTCTTCTTCGACACGCGAACCTTTTCGCCTTCGTCCGTAAAGCGGATGGCAATCCGTGTGGGTTTGCCAATGGACGGGTCTACCAGGTTCACATTGCTATAATGAATGGGTGACGGTGACAAATAGGAACGCCCGGCAGCAGCAGGCGTTGCCTTCACATAGCGGTGGGTCTATCAAACAGCAAAAAAATGTCAGTCATTTTGAGACCTCTAGAGCCTTCCAACAGCTCGTTTTGACGCGCACCATTTTGACATTCTCGACAATAACTCTATTCTTGTCACGAACGACGCTCAAGACTTCACCCTGCGTCCCTTTGTGAGGTCCAGCAATGATTTCAACCTGAACATGTACATGGTCGTTAAAAGAGCAAAATCTCAGCGAATACAGTGATTCAAACGAGAAAAATAGCGCACCTTATCACCACGAAAGATATGCCAGTTCTTAATGAGGTCAATTGCTTTCTTCTTGGTACGCGGGCCACGTCGGAACGCAATCGGAATACGAGTCGCCATCGGAAGCTTTACTGTCCACAAATATGAAAGCTACGAGCAGCTCCGTTTTTTAATTGGTTAAAATGATTGGCGCTTACATTGTTTTTATTTGTCAAAATATAATGCAATATGATTTGCTAAAAAGTGAGGAGCCACTAGAAAAATCTCAAACATTTCGACACCAGCCAAAGCAAAAGGGGACCGTGGGATACAATTAAGATGGCTGACGTTATTGAGAATCAGGAATTGCCGTCTACGGATGACGCTGTAGTAGCTTCACCTGCTGTACCTGAGGATGTGGCTGCTATGTTTGATTTGAAGAAGAAGAAGAAGAAATCCAAGAAGGTGAAGAAAGAGGTCAGTCAATTGAGCAGTTTTTATAATATTTTTATATTTTTTCCAATATTATTGTAAAAATCTCAATAACATTCATGTACCAATGTAGAAAAATGACAATTTGGAAGATACTGTAGCCATTACGGATGCTGCACCTGATGCCAATCTAGTGCTAGTGCAGGACCCTGCTACGTACTCGTACAAGGACGAACTACTGGCCCGTATCATGGCTAAGTTGCATGAGAACAATCCGGAGCTAACGGACCGCAAGCGGCACACGATGAAGCCACCGCAGCTTATGCGCGTGGGTACAAAGAAGACGCTATGGGTGAACTTTCAAGAGATCTGTCAGATGATGCATCGAAGTCCCGAGCACGTGCTTCAGTTCACACTGGCTGAGTTGGGTACAGAAGGGTCGATTGATGGCAATCAACGTCTTGTCATTCGTGGTCGTTACGTGCCCAAGTACATTGAGTCGCTCTTGCGCAAGTACATTACCGAGTACGTGTCGTGCCAAATGTGCCGTTCGCCCAACACGACGCTCACGCGTGACTCGGTCAGTCGTCTTTACTTTGTGCACTGTCAAGACTGTGGATCCTCGCGGTCGGTGGCTGCAATCCGCTCGGGTTTCCACGCTGCTACTCGCGCGGATAGACGGGCTGCACGCAAGTAGAGTAATTGGAGGTGGTCGAAAGTCGGGGACAACGAGTTTTCAGCAAAATGGTAGAGCAGACAGGTTAGAGCAGGAATTGAACATTCTGGGTTTTACTGGTCTCGCGTTGGGTTGTCACCGATACTAGGTGATTTGGTTAACGATTTGAGTGTTGAACACAGAGGAAGGGGAATCTATTATAGCTGTTCAGTGTTCAGTATCACGAGGTCTAGCCAAGTCTAGCCAAGTCTAGCCAAGTCTTGTCATCTCTACAGCCTTCTTTTACCATCTCAAAGGCGGCGGCGCTTGCTCTTCTTGGACTTAAGACCTCTGCCAGAATCTGTAACAGGACGTTTCGTACCATGGCGAGAGATAATGATATGACGATCAAGTCCCGTGCCAATGCTTTCGTGCCCAAGACCAAGACGCTCAGCACAATCGTGTGCCAGCAGCCGCTCAAACCCGTTTAGGTTAGCATCCAGATGCAAGTCTCCACCTTCATTCGACTTGTTATAAGCCTCAATCTTCTTCACCAAAGTGTGCGAGCTGCCAGCCGAGATGCCACCTGCCGTCTTGTTGCGTACTTGAACGGGAGCACGAAGAGGGGCGGGAGTGATAGATTTAAGCTGAGGAGCTTCGTCTTCGGAAGAGTCTGAAGATTCTACGCTAGACGAGTCCGACGACTCGGACGATGATGCCTTTTTCTTTGCCGCCGGCTTCGACGGAGCTTCATGTTTAGAGCCATTAGAAGATCCGGGGGACATTTTTGCCTTTTGTTGCTTCACAGCGTGAATGGGTGGAGCTTCATTGTTGTCGCCGCTTTCGGATTTAGAAGATATTGCCACCAAAACAGACTTACGAGCTGGTGTGGGCTGTACAGCAGACTTCAAAGGGGCTGCATCCTCGAAATCATCTTCCGACTCGGAAGACAAGGCTTCCTTGGACGTTGAAGAAAGGTCTCGGGTCGGTTCAAAGGATTCACTGTCACAACTGTCAGAATCGGATGACAACTCCATCTTCGGCACTGACGTAGATACAAGAGATGACTTAGCAGCAGGTATATCATCAACATCGTCTTCAGATTCGGAGCCCGATGAATGAGAGGCCTGTGCTTTGACGACAGACGCGGTCGTTACGGAAGACAAATGTGGCGGCTTGACATCGTCGAAGTCCTCGTCAGACTCCGATTTTGATGAAGCAGCAGCCATCGGCTCATCGCCATTGGACCCCTGAAAAGGCAAGACTTCTTTCATCACCTCTTCGTCTTCTGACTCAGATGCCGAGTCACTAGAAAACTCAAGCTGCGGTACGCTTTCGACGTAAAGCACTGGGTCAATGACCTGTGGCATAGATTCCACTATGTGACTTTCCTTTTTCTTTGCTGCCATATGCTCTTGTGTAGCCTCCTTAGCATTCGGTTGTGTCTTACTGATATTCGCAGATAGTTTCACACGAACGTGCTTTCGCAAACTCTTAAACTGATGCACACTAGCATCACACGATGCACAAAATGGAACTTCGCACTGCTCGCAGCGCACATTAGCAGTCTTTGACTCACATTCGCCACAGCGCGGCAGCTTCGGCAATGATGGAAGTTTAATGCGCTTGTGTTTCGCCATCACGCGGGCACGATGTACCGTCGCATTACAGTCATCACAGTAAAGTGAGTTGTCACACTTTGCACATTTCCACACGGCCTCGCCAGGCTTTTCACACTCGACACATGTGCGGCTGCCATCAGGTTCAGCTTCAACATCACTCTCATTGTCGCTGTTGCTACTCTGAGCAACAGCCTGGGGTGTACTAGCTTGAGCCGATGCAGCAGCACCTGCTGTCGGCTCGTGCACATACCTGCACGCATCACCACGAGCGCACACTCCGCTCTGAAAGAATAAACAAGGCTGTGCAACCTTCCCAGTAGGTGCAGGTACCGCCTGATTGGGGAGGCCTAACACGTGGGCAAATTTACACTGTTCACCTTGCGAGCAGTAGCCGCGTGAAAAATGACGGCAAACTTTCTTGTCTGGAATTGCTTGGATCTCTGGTGGTATAGCAATTCGTTCCATAGACTTTGGAGCTCTTATCTTGGGCTCACGCGGTGCTTTGGTACAGAGAGGAGGAACTTGCGTAGCAAAAGCCGCATCGTCGGTAACATGGTAATATCTACAAAAATAACATCCGTCATTAGCTGTCTCAGTGTGTGCTGTCTAATAGTATATATCACCACTGACGTACTTGCACATGTCGCCTTTTCGGCAGATTCCAGCTACAAAACCCCGACACGGCTCTGTTGTCTTTTTAAATGGGCGCTGGAGAGAAACTTTGAGCGTCTTGCCATACACTACAGCACCATTGGTGGCCTTCATAGCCTTCAAAGCGTGAGGTTTCTGTGCAAAGATTACTTGACTGTACATACACAGAGCAAGTCAGTACAAAGAGCTCAACAACCAAGCAAAAACTCAAACCAAGATGGCTACATGTTTTCTACTTACGCCGAATTGGTTCCATTATGTCGGACACGGACGATAGGACCATATGTGCGGTACATATTCATAAGCATTCTATCCGACAATTCTGTACCAATGCCTGACAAGACAAGAGTCGTTTCTTCGCCCCTAGACGCTACTGGATCATCACTAGACATGATGCACACTTAAGTCTTACGTAAGGTTTTGGCTGGTCAGAGGTTTGTTTGGCACTCTTTTGAGGGAATTTGAGGAGCTACACTCTTTCGAGGTCATTAAGGTAAAATGAGCATGGAGGAACCTGCTGGAGGTTCATTAATGACGATAAGGAAGCGACAACGATCAATAGAAAGTGAGAATGAAAAGAAGATAAACGACATGAAGGAGATGAAGAAGATGGAGGTACAAGTGATGACTAGTGAGCAGCAGATGAATGAACAAGACGAGGAGAAGGTTACTGCAGATTTGACAGGAGACGATGATGATGATGAAGAAGAAGAAGAGACGCTGGTGGTGCTGGAATTATGTGATTTTAAGAATCACCCGCTATTTAATGACTACAGCTTAGCGACACTTGAGGTGCGTGTGCTAGAGAGGACGTTTATCGAAAAGATTGAAGCTGATACGGTACTTGATTCGTGTAGGGGATTGACACGGCAACTCCGATGCTGAAAATTGGAGAGTATGCTTTGCATGGTCAATTGGAAGAAACTGTGGGTACGAGCTACTTTTACGATACGGACAAGACAAGAGCACCGGATAAGATGTACCAATTTGTAGGCCAGACCATCAAAAAGATCAAGTTTACCATTGCACCACCGGAAGATTTGTAGACGGCTTTCAAGACAATTGTCTGGACATGGACGTGAGTTTAGAACCAGATACTTGGCTGACGTAGCTGCTGGATACTGACTGACACGACAGGCTGTCGTATTGGTGATTTTGTCTTTCAAACTCCATTCATTTGCTCTTATTTTCTTTGGTATCCCGCAGTAAACTGATGCTACAAACCTGTTCTGATCGATGCATCGGCTCCAAGCTCACACCTTGCAAGACATCCATTGTGTTATTTCTGTGTCTCTGCTTAACGATAGAGCTGCTCAATCGAGAGGTTCTTGGCAATTTCAAACTCCCATTTATCACCATTAGCCAGCAGCTTCGCCTTGTCATACAGTAGCTCTTCGTGAGTTTCAGTGGCAAATTCAAAATTCGGACCCTCAACGATCGCATCCACTGGACACGCCTCCTGGCAAAACCCACAGTAGATACACTTGGTCATGTCAATGTCATAGCGTGTCGTACGACGTGCACCGTCCGCACGTGGCTCCTACAAGAAAAACAATAAGAGATTTAATACATCAGTTTACAGAAAGATTAGCTCCAATATGCACGCTCTCTCACGTACCGCCTCAATGGTAATGGCTTGAGCAGGACAGATAGCTTCACACAGCTTGCAGGCAATGCATCTACAAGTCACAGCAGAAACGAGAAACGTCAGTAGAGTTCCATTCATTCAATTTTTATCCACATATCTCACCGTTCTTCGCCGCTTGGGTAGCGACGCAGTGCATGCTCACCACGGAAACGTGGACTTAGCATACCCTTTTCAAATGGATAATTAATGGTAACTTTGCGCTCCATATGCACTTCCCAGGACAACCAAACGGCACGGAATACGTCCGATAGAAAGAAAGTGTCGGACATTTTTTCAATAACCTCTCCCCACGTGGGTTTTGGGTCCGGTTTTCCAGAAACAGGTACATTTGCAAACCCACGCGTACTGCAAGTTACACTAGCCGACACTGTACGACTCACACTCTGCGTAGCAGCTACAGCCGCGGCCGATCGACGCAGCATGAGGACATTCATGGTATTGTATTTTGATAGTAAAGCGTGCGGCTGTCCGACGACCATTGGAGCAACTTTGTTTTGCAACTGAAGGGAAGATTATGTTGCGGGTAAGATATCGTGATGCGTAATTTAAACATTTTATATCAAAATTACAAAACTAGACTCGATGCTTTTCATTGGAAGCAAAAGCACCGAGTCGTAAAATGATGTCGAGTGCGTTCTTGGTGTGTAAAGTGCGACATAATGTGAGTCTGTCACCATGTCACGCCACTGAGCCACGCGTAGGAATCGATCAGGATCTGACAGAGCAGCTTATGCGCTATTCAGAGCCTTTACAGGGTGTAGTATTGAGCTTTAGCAACGTACAGCTGGACCGACCCTATGGCGCTATTGTGAACGAGATGCCGTTTATCCACTGCAAAGTCCTGGCGGATGCGCTTGTATTTCAGCCTCAAGTGGGTATGCAACTACGTGGTATTGTCAATAAGATAGGCAGCAACCACATTGGTATGCTCTTTGCGGGCGTCTTTAACGGCTCAGTGGCTGAAGCGGAGCTGCCCAAGGGATTCGTACATAACTACGCTCAGGACTGCTGGTACGTTGCTGTGGCTGCATTGAATTTTGTGGTTAAACTGGTATTAACGCTGCTTGTGTATTTTAGGCTGGGTGAGGATGGCTCGACCATCTCTGTGGAAGATGAAGTGGATGTGAAAGTGTTGCGGTGAGTTGACTGCTTTATTCATGCTATTTACTGCAATAATGAAGAGATGTTGACGTGGTTGTTGCTGAGCTAGTGTTCATGTTGCTGGAGGAATGATTGCGATTGAGGGCACGATGCGTTTTGCCAACGTCAGAGTTGTGACACCTTTGTCGGTGAAAAAGATTAAGAAGGCTACGCATCTTAACTTGGAAGCAGGAGAGTCGATTACGAAGTCGAATAAGGAAAAGAAGGTCAAGAAACGGAAGGAGGGTGAGGAAAAGAAGCTCAAGAATGCAAAGGAGGTGGAGGTAGTCACGGTGAAAAAAACCAAGGTGGTGGAAGGTGAGGAAACTCAAGTGAAGAAGGCCAAGAAGACCAAGAAGGTTGAAGAATTTGAGGTGAAGAAAGTTTACGTTGAAGAAGCCACTCATACGAACGACAAGAAGAAAAACAAGAAGCGCAAGCTTGTGGAAGATGTAGTAGAAAAGGAAGAGGAGATGGTAGTGGTGAAACCAAAGAAACACAAGGAAAGAGACGCCAAGAAGAAAAAGCACAAGAAGGGCAAGCAAGACTAGACTTACAGGGGATAGCGCTAGACGAGACGATAGATGGATGACAAGTATCCAGTTGCATGTGATTATACACTTTCAAGAACATTGGCTCTTCGATCTGGATATTTCATAGCATGTACGCCACTACACAAAAGCTACCAGTGGCCAGTACTGCACACTAGTCGTACGAGACCAGGTCCTCCAGCTCTGCGGGAATGTTTGGCAGTGGCTGTTTCGGATCGCAAATGCTCCAGTTTGGAGACTGCTGTGCTTTATGCCACTTGAAGTCCTTTACTTTTGCCCAGAGTCCTGGATCCATTTGCAATCCCAAGCGCTCAAGTTGTGCCTTTAGTCCGTCGAACTGCAAGCGATAAGGCCCAAACTGCATTAGCTGACAGTCCTCAATAATAGGGTGACTCGAAATGCGTAGGTGGAAGGTCGTGGCAGTGCTCGAGTGCACGCGCAGCTGGCGGCAAGCAACGATAAACTCGCAACCGTCACAGTGCTCAAGCCACAAGCTTCCGAAGATCGCTCCAGTGAAGAAGACACAGTCTTTCAGTGCATCACCACGAATTGCAGATGTCTCCACGCATACGAACACAACGCAGTTCGTCAGATGAGAGAAGTTCAGGTCGCGACGCTTGTCATTTGCGTCAGTAAAGCTGCTGCTGTCAATAATAATCACTTCGTTCTGTTTGTTGGCGTGCACGAGTTCATCAAACTCCATCATTTTCTGTGTTGTCGACAAAAGCTTCTGTTTGCCACGAGAATCAGTCGATTCGGATAAATCATCTTGCTTGGGTTCGTTCTGCTCTTTTACTTTCACGCTTTTCGCCGCTCGAGCTCGAAACGTAAACTTTTTCCTTGGAGCAAATGTCGTACGAGTGGTATCAATGAGTTCCAGCAGCTTGGATAGGATCAATTGCGTATGGCGAGTATCATACGGCGACAAATACAATGATGCTGCCGTAGCAGCAGTATCTCTTATGACGCTCACTTCGAGCAGCAGTGTATCCAACTTAACCTCTTTGGCAGGTTCACAAGGCAGCGGCTGCTTCTTCTGCTCGCAAAACAGTCCTACCTGTTTACGCACATAATCTTCCTGCTGTGTAAACTTTTCCCAAAACGTCGTTGCCAGCTCATCAGTCGTCAGCTCCCGATGCAGCTTCGAGGCAGCACCAGCACTGATACCATTGCCTCTCGCCACCTTCTTCTCCTTTCTTCGCTCTTCCAGCGCATGTGCCAAACTATCTTCATGTGTCGTAAGTATAGGAAATTCACCTTCCACATTAACTCTCTCTGGTCGCACAATAGCGCCATGTAATGGTTTACACTCGAAAAAACATTTGCCTTGGAACGATCCATCACCTTTACCCAGTGGTTTATCCAGCCTCACACCTATCCATCCATCTCCCACAAGACCATCTATTGGACCAATGTATGCAATCTCACCATACCGCTTGATGCTGGCGCGTAAGCTTTCAGTGGAACTAGAGGACAGGAGCTCGCACCGTGCTCCTAGAGTAACCATCTATTATAAGCTCTATAAAAAACGACGACGTTCGATTTGTCAAAATGATAAAGATATTTAGACGAATCATAGAATTTTAATTATAAACCAATCACATTATACGATGGTAGTTTCAGAATGTCCCTCCCTTCATTAGCAAGTAGTCAGTCTTATTCCGACTATAGTTTCCAACTAAATAAGAAAAAAAGAAAATGTTCCCAGGAGGAGGCCCACCTCCGCACGGATACCCCCAGCAACAACCTGGTTACCCGCCTCAACAGGGCTATCCGCCTCAGCAAGGTTACCCACCCCAGCAGGGCTATTCACCTCAGCAAGGATACCCTCCTCAACCAGGGTACCCACCGCAACAAGGGTACCCTCCGCAACAAGGGTACCCTCCCCAACAAGGATACCCTCCCCAGTCAGGGTACCCGGCGCAGCCGGGGTACCCTGTTCAGCCGGGATACCCTGTTCGGCCGGGATACCCTGCTCAACCCGGGTACCCCGCCCACGGACGTGGACAACAGCATGGTCATGCGTATCCTCAGCCCGTGTACGTGGCACAGCCTGGAGTTATCATCGCTGGTGGGAAGATGAAGCATGGTAAGCACAAGGGATATAAGCACAAGCACAAGCACAAGCATCACAAGTACAAAGGATTCAAGGGCAAAGGCTTTAAAAAGATGGGCAAGAAGATGAAGAAAATGTTCAAGTAAGATTGTTCACGCGTGGCACATGATTTGATGCAGTCGATACACCGGAAAGCTTGCTGAAGATGAGAGCGTGAGGTTCTGTTAAAGAAAGCTTAATATAATGGTATCTTGGTCCTGAGATTGTGCTGTACGGGTGCATTTATCGTAAGGTGTTGACAACTATCGTACGTCTACCATGTTGAGCTATAAAAAGTGGCACCTTACATAAGAATATGATGTGTGCTACATTTGTAATAAAAACAAGTAAAGTGCTGCATAAACGCTGCGAAATGTATTGAAATGCGTATAAACGGTACGCTATTTCGGGTAGCTTTCTGGGTGGCATTTGGCACCGACAAGTAGCAGTTATATAGTGTATCTATTTAACTTGTTAAGATAATTTGATATTTTATTATCCATTTTGACTCAATAGAGGGATTAAACTTAATTCCTAAATTATCCACTCTAATAATACGATATACGATGTCGTCGCTGCAGTCGATAGTCAATGCTGCTTACATGATGTACTTCCTTGCCGCCAAAGCCGTGCCTGTCATTGCTGTAGGGTCATCCATTGTATTCTCCATCTCTCCCTGGTACGCTCATCATTTTATTGTTTCGTATAAAGCTCTTTATTCATTAAAGCTTTATCGTATTATGTATCTCTATCTATTAGGCCCACTATCAGCACTATCCGTCGTGCTCGCAGCACGTTACAGTTCTCGTTCGCCCCATTCTTTTTCTTCTTTGTACAGAGTATTATCTATACTTTGTATGGCTGGACAACAAATAATCCTGTAGTAGGTGGGACTTCACTGCTTGGAGTCGTGCTGGGTTCGTACTATGTCATGATCTTTTGCAAATACACACACGACCGGACACAAGCGACGAGAATGTTGACATCAGCTATGATAGTGATCATATTACTGACCCATCAGGTGGCTACACGGCTACCTGAGGAGACGCAGACAATTGTGGGTATCCCAGCCAACATCTTGTCCGTCTTTACGGCCGCCTCGCCATTGTTGCAACTTAAGAACATTTTGCGACGCAAAGACGCCTCTTGTTTGCCATTAGGTATGTCGGCGATGACTGTTGTGGCTGGAACTATTTGGTCCATCTATGGAACGATGCTGGGTGATCCACTGGTCATTTGCCCTAATTTATTTGGACTGACGATGGGAGTGATTCAAGTGTCGCTGATTTTGCGTTATCCTGGAGTCAAGGGCAGCAGTAGTGTGGAGCCAGAGACCAAGCTGTCGTCTCCTACAAAGCTGACAAAGAAGCCCAGCCCTCGTAACATGAAGAAAGCCGACCATCCAGAATAAAGTGGAGATCGATCTCACTCTTTATTCACCTTGGAATGCCACCAATGTGGAAAACTGGATGCCGCTTGTTGAGATACGGCATAGCTAGTAATTTGCAGTGATTGAAGGTTATAAGCGAATGCAGCTGTAGCTATCGATGCTGCTTTTTGTGTATTGTTTACATTTGAGGGGCACTTTTCGCCATTACTTCAAAGCACAACTTTCACATTTGCTGCTTGCAGATCCAGGACCGATGCACCTTGCCAGGAGCTGTTCAGTCGTATACAACGAGCGTGCCATGCTGTTGTGCCATCAGTGACAAAAAATTACGGATGAAACTTGTAAGGCTAGTACCTCCTAGCACAAACTCCAGCTTCGACATCAAACTACTCACGTTTCTTTTTAATGGACTGCAGCTACCACCACCTACTTTATTTTGTCGGCTCCTTCTTCTTCCGCTCGAACTCGTTCCTTCCAACTCACGAGCGTCAAGTTCGTTTGAGTGCCAGGCCATCAGCAATATTCCACTCAGCCACCATTTGCACGTTCTTCCCACCTTTGCGCTGCAATGCCCGTAGAAGTGCGCTGTCATAAGCACTGGCTTGCAAACTTGTTCCTCACCACTTCTTTCGTACGCTCACGTTAGCCGTGTCATCCCTCTTTGCGTCCCGTGGATGAACTCATCTCTTTTCTTTGGCGCTTACTGGCGCTTGCTGAAGCGAAGTGCTCTCGCTCATTACAAACCTTTCTCCACTTCCAATACGCGACCCACACTTCCAGCGCTATCGGAGGCGGAAGTTGCTGCATTTGCGAGCTCAAGAATATAAGCGAGAAAGCTTTCTATTGTCGCTGTGCAGTGTGTCTTCGTAATCATTATGCTCGTCCTGGAGAATATGGAAGTCTGCTCGTCAAGCAGCGGGCTTTAGTATACACGATATGAGAGATCACTGGCCACCAAGGGTGTTTATAGCCTCCGAAAAGCCTGCAATAGGCTTTTCCAGCACATACCACACGTTGTCTGTCTCGGTTTGGACGTTTGAAGAGTGTTCCCCAGTATCGCTTCTCACTGTGCTCGTATCGTCACTTGTAGTTTGCTGTGCAACCGGATAGTGCAAGTCATCTTCTTGTGACTGCTTCCTACTGTCATCACTTCTGCATATTGTCAAGTAGTGCGTCCGACTTTTACTTTTTGGAAGCCGAAGCCTGAACTGCTGCTTCGGAAGAAATCCAGGAATACGCACAGGCTGGCGCTCCGCTAGCACTGCAATGTGCAACTTTGTTGCTGGTAACGCACTATGCAACAGTCAAAAAAGCAGATCGTTCAATCAAAGCCTCCAAAAAGCATATCACCAGTTCATAACCAAAGCAAGCCACATAACAAACTTTCCTCACCACGTAAAGTGCTCGATAGAACGTGTGAATAATGCACGCACAAGCTTTTGTGAGCACAAATGCATCAATTTTTCTCTACTCATGGGTAATGCTGTTGACGTCAACGTCTCTGAGTCTTTGAATGACGTTTCTTTCTCATCCAATTGATGTAAAGTAGTAGCAGAGGACATCATCACTTTAGAATCATCTACATTGTCAAAATCAACAAGAAAAGCTTCGCGTGGACGCATCATCGACGACCCAAAAATGAATGCCACTTCACCTCAATTAGCAATAATTCTGCAGCTAAAACTCTAATAATTAAGAACTCACGTACCTCTTTTTACTTGCAATGAGAACATAACGTTCAATTGATTTCGGAATAATTTCTCACACGCTTCGACAAACTGGAATGCCTTCTTGATACCTCGAGTCATTGAAAGTCTATTATAGTATACATAGTATACAGTATACAATTAGCATTCTCTATCCACTGTTGTCACCAATTTAAAGCGTATACCTTCTTTTGATTGGCTGATATACTTGTTGTTGTTTTTGACGCTCGACATTTTTGACAAACTGCAAAAGTTCGTCGTAAAGGCTGCAATACATTCACTCTTAGTCAGAATGTTGGACAATAAGTAGACCCAAATACAAGATCAGTCACACCATGGAACTTGACCACGTATATACAGCAAGTATTTCACAAGTTGCTGCGTCATAAAAGCACACACTTTGCCATTTAACGACGTTCGATACGGTATTCGAAGCTCCGTCATTTACGTTTTTGACAAAAAACGAAAATAAAAAACCTCAATGTGTCAAAAATCCAACATTTTTACGTCAAAAATGTAAAAAAGGTTGTGGCCAATAATAATATTTATTGCAGCTTACGGTGCTGTACGACAATATCAAAACGCAGTCTTTTTTAATTTAATTAATTTGTACGACTAAAATGGAAGTCACGGCCCATGCGGATGACTACAATGCGTCCTTCCGTGATACTGTATGGCTCCAGTCGTTCCCTTTGAACGCACAGACAGTATTGCACTATTTTGCACTGTCTCCGTTCTACGATCGCTCGTGCAACAACGAGCGCCTGAAGATGCAGCGTCTCGGACTCGATCAGCTCAAGAATCTTCGTGGTGTCGAGTACGAGCTGCTGCCGAATACCGCCAAGCAGTTACCACAGCAGATCTATATCATTCGCAAACAGCGACGTAGTAGCCGTACACAAGTGGAGCCATTAGCCATCTACTACGTACTGGATGGTACAGTGTACCAAGCCCCAAACATCCACGCCATGCTCACGTCTCGCCTCGTACGCTTGGATTCTTGACCAATTTACATTCGTGCAACATTATTAATTCTGAGAGTATTATTATTTTATAGAAAAAATGCAGTTATCGAGTGAACAAGGCGTTTCATGGATTGGCTGCAGGTGTACGTTTTAGCTCGACAGAAGGCTATGCATGGGATTTTAGCTCCAAGGACAAGAAAGAGCCTGTGATTCCTTCAGAGCGTGAGTGGACCGAGTGTTGGTTTTTTGATGAAGAAATGCTGAAATGTTGTGGGTTTTTGTGTGTGTCGGTAGAGCTCCAGCTGAAACTCAAGCAGAAGTATGAAAAAATGGAGAAACAGCGCGAGAATTCGGCGCGTGTGGACTCGATTTTGATTCAACTTATGAAGAAACACGCACCTGAAATTGCTGAAAAGCTGGAGAGCAATAATGCTGCCGCTGCAGCAGGAATTGAGGATCCGGTGGCTACGAACACTACCAAGCACGAAAACGATGTTGTTGGAACCGACGCTGTCAAGCGGCAGAAAGTTGCATAAGCATCATTTGACGGAACTCAACACTGTTTTCCCTTATCTCAAACTTATCTCAACGTTGTTGATGTTAAATGTATGCAGCTACGAGTATCGAGTCGGCTCCTCTTTCAAGCTTTTGCTGATAATCATCAGGTCTCGATTATCGTCGCAAATTACTGGTCCTTCTTGCTTCCCGCTTGCGCGTACTTGGCGCGCGCTTGGTCCATCAGTCCACTGGCACACTGTTTGGAGTACTCGACCTTGTCTCCAACGTTTCCAGCAACACCTTCAATGTTCGACTTGAGCTTCTCGCTATTCGGTGCGTCCCGTGCTAACACCGTGCGTGGTTGTTTCATCTTGTCCACGCTGGCTTTCCACTTCTTCGGGTAGCGACGACGCAGCATCATTAGCAGGAAAATGGCAAGCAGTGGAATGCTGAAGAACACCACGTGCCGCGCACAGATCCGATCCGTGGGCAATGGCAAGCAGTATTCTCGTTCACCAACGTTCTTGGCAGCTTCAGAGCTCTTATGCAATGTATCCTTGGCTTTTCCTCCGGCAGCGTGCATCGATTCAGCAATACGAGCCTTGACACTATCAACACGTTCTCCAAGATCAGTAATCTCATCATTGAGTTTTTCACTCGCCGCCTTGAAGGAATCCATCACCGAGTCACTGATAGCGTCCGTCGGTACAGGAGCAGAGTCCGGAAGCCCAGTGGATTCACGTGCCGAAGCTGCCGCTTCTCGCATCACTTCATTCATGTGCTGCATTTTGCCTCGCGCGTATTCTCCAAGATTACGTGCATCTTCTTGGATCTGATCCAATGTCCGACGACTGGCGTCGCCCACATTATTACGACGACGCATTTGCTCCGCCTCCGACAACATTTCGTTCACCGTTTCGGATGCAGCCTCTTTGGCTCCACGACCGTCCTTTGACACGTGACTCTTTGGCATACTCGTGGGCATTCGTACCATGTTTCAAAAGGTGTTTGTTTTGTTCAAGTGGTTCTTGGCTTTCCTGCTAGTTGGATAATGCCAATGCGTCAGCATTACCAAGCGTTGTTTGGGACACGAACCATCAAGAACAAATTGTTATCAACTGCCATGATCAAATCACCCAGAAACTGATGAACACCTCATCCCATAGAGAAAAGAGACAAGAAAAGAGAAAAAAGTGGCTCTAACGGGTTTGAAAACGAAATTTATTTTATTTTTATACCATATAACTGACATTTGTCATTTTAATTTCATGAAAAAGGTTATGGTTAGTACATAGAACGGACGGTTATATAGTTTTCATCCCATTGAACCAGTCATTTATTACCGACAATCGTTTTTTATTATGCATGCTCATCCGACCTTTACGTCGGCTGCCCAAGTGGATGCCGTAGCTGCCTGTTCCTTGTCTCATGTGCTTTTTCTAGATGAAGAGAAGAACGTAAAAGAGCCGGAGTTGCCATTGCTGGCAGTAGCACAATCGCAGCTGGAAGGAAACGTCTGGAGTGGAAGTGTCGCGTTGCTCGAGGCGACGACGAGTGAGCAGCTTTGTGAGCTGCCACTGGAGACAGGCGTGGCTTCGTTGGCTTGGTGTGGTGCAGATGGAGATATACTTGCATTGGGATGTGACGACGGGGATGTACGGCTGGTGAGACTGTCGGCAGACGTCGTATTCACCTTTGTACCAATGACGGCCAATGGCTCAATGGACGAAGAGGATACAATGCCAATAGGATGGGGACATGATGATGTTATTACGGGTGTTAGTAGCTCGAAAGTGGAGAAGACGCAGTTGGCTACATGCAGTTGGGATCTTACGTACGTTGGAAGAAGTTGAGAAGTGATCAAAGAAGGTATATTTTACTGACTTTGGCTTGCTATTATTTGTTTGGTGGGAGATAAGAGTAAAGTTGTGGGATATTGACACAATGGATAAGACACTTGCTACGTTTGATGGTGAGTTTATTGGGTTGTTTGTAGTTGATTGCAATATAAAGTTTGTTATGACGAGATGTATGTGTCTATAGGCCACACGGACTTGATTTGGGGTGTCGCTATGAACCCAATGCATGGAAATTTGCTGTGCTCGGCTTCACAGGATCAAACGGTGCAAGTATGGGATGCACGTCATCCTCAAAGTGCAGCGTTGATGGTGTCTACACTTCTTCCAGCATTGTCGGTGGATTGGCATCCGAGACAATCGACGGTCTTCTCTGTTGGTCTAGAGGATGGCGTGGTGTGTACTTTTGACGTTCGCTCACCACACAAACCGTTGGCTCGACAAGAGACCCATGAAGCAGCTGTGCATGTCGTGAAGTACTCGCCGTATCATGATGACTTGTTGGCAACGGGTGGTGATGATGGCAGGGCTTTTGTGACTACTGACAGCTTTTCATCCGGTCAAATTGCAGGCAGTGGAGTACGTGAATTACTGGTCGGTGAAGAGAAATCTTCACCGCACCGAGACTACGTACGTGCGTTGGAATGGTTCAAATTGGCGTCGGCAGTGCTTTCTTCCGATGACAAGAAGTTCGACGCGATGCTCGCCTCGGGCTCATGGGACAAGAGTGTGCACAAGTGGAGCGTTGCTGAGTACAGTGCTCCTGTATTGGATGAATTGATCTTATCTTACTCTTCTGAAGAGACAATGCCAGTGGCACCGCCCGGAGTACCTGTTGCGTAACAAGCTGCAATAATATGAAAGAAAGGAGAAAATCGATCTCCATAGTGTCCATGGACATCGGTCTTCCTCGGTGCTTTCGGCTTCTTTATCTGCTTCGGGCAGTGCCATTTTTACTTTGTTCAGCAGATCACTCGTTCCTGTCTAGTTCTCTGCTCCGTCGCTTGTGCCGCCAATATCTCCAGCAAGCCGTAGTCTTCGCTGCAAGTCTTCCGCAGGTTGCATTCAACGTCGACTACTGGACCCATCATCACGACCGTTACGTGAGCCCTTTGGCTGGAAACGAGTCCCGCGTGTCAAACCGATTGCGACCGACTCAGCAGCGCCTGTTTACTTGCGTGCGCAGTCCTGCAACTGTTGCGCAGATTCGATCTGTATGTTCTCGAGACCCATGCGTATCTTTATAAAGTCAAGTCTCCACACAAAGCGGACGCTGCTTGATGATCATATCTCTTAGATGTATCTTGCAGCCCAACAACATGCAGTTTCATCAGTCTCGATCTGATCGCAGGTCTGGAACAACTCTTGCTGGATGTCATCGATAGCGCAGGACTATAGGTACATTAAAGCCTGACCAATCTGCCATAGCATAATATTGAAAGACTTTTAGACGTACAAGTTGCAGTATCAAGCTACTCTAAATAAATCGTGCTGCTAGAGTTCTAGTTGTCATTCAACTACCAAATTTGGAGCTCATGACTAGCAATCGCACTATTGTTTAGGCGTTGCTCTCTATCACTTAGAGAAGAGAGCGCGGATCGAGGCACCACAGCTAGTCAAGGACAAGCGTGTAGAAAGGGAAGGTAAAAGCCGACGAATCGTTTGCTGGGAACTGGTTCGTGTCTATAGGCCATTTTTTCACAGAACATTAGTGTTGTCCTGCGCTGATAATCAGCGTCGAGCCGCAAAGCTCAGGTTTTTGCACTGGGGCATAAGGCGGGAATAACGAATGCGAACAAGAGACTGTTGCGGCGGCCGCCTTTCATCTTGATGATCGGAGACCAGATCGTTCGACCGGATTTGCTCTACGCCTCCGGCGCTACGGGTTCTCTGCTAGGGTTCCTCGCACGCCATCGCCGCAGTGTCCATTGATCCAGCAGTGACCCATGCGGCCACACCTGGCAGCTGCTAGTGCCATTTCAAGGCAATGAAGTAATTTGTTGACGCGTCACGGGGTCACATCTCTAAGATAAAGACGCTGCACAGCTCTATTCACCGACGCGCGGTACTGTCATCGAATGGACACCGACCCCGGCATGGCAAACGAACGATGTCACCTTGGAAAAGCGCGCGAACGTGCGCAGTTTACTCTTCAACGTCGTGATGACATTTCAACTCCGACCGGTATCGTTACATGTGTACGCGGAAATTGCCGCCGTGTTGGCTACTGTATAGTCGATACCCATGTAGACTACGAGCTCTTCATAGCCTACGGCTGGATGATTTGGGGCTCGCAAGCTTCAATAGCACTCTTTGCGCTCCATAGCGTCTAGATTTGTGTCGTTTGATAGAGTGCGATCGTGGAACCATTTTGGCAATCATACGTCAGTACAGTACAGTAGAAAAGACTTGTGGCAGACGAGGGTCAGCTGGCAGCAATCGGGACAAGTTGACTGATTTGTTACAGGCAAGCAGGTAGCTAGCTAGACGAGAAAAAAATTCGAGTCCAGGTAAGGAAGGGGGTATGAAGCAAGCAGTAAGGGAGAGATCGTAGTAGGAGGTGGCAGAAGACATCCGTTCAAATCATAACCGGCTCAAAAAGGTGAAGAAGGCAGAGAGCGGAGCCAGTTGGTGAGGAGATCGAACAAGAAGCTCGCGTGCGCTTTGCTGCAATAGTGTGTCTGCACAACGGACAGGAGCTTTTTTTTAACAGCACTGGGGTCATTTCGACCACCCCCCTCAGCCTGTTCTTTCGTTAACATCTTTATGCACTAACTAACCCCGTTAAGCGGAAAAGGCAGGGCCAAGTCTACCAACACTCTTTTTTCGACGCTATCATGATCTTTTGGGTAAATTGTACCCATAAATTGAGCACTTTTCAGTGTTATGGTTCCCTTTTGAAACGGCATTGCAACTTAGCTAAGTGTTCTGGCAAAGAGCATGCTGGAGCCGTAGCAAGAATCAGAGCGGTACCTCCAGTTGCTACGAGTAAGTAGCCAATTAGCGTGCGTGCCCATCTTTCTTGTTGTGATATTCGGGTCAGCGTATTGCGCCGATTTTGCTCATCCCACCCAAAATCTGGAAAGGAACGAAAATGGTGTGGTCCACTCGATCCACGACAGCATATACGGCTCTCTCGCGCCGGGCGTCAGTACCATTTGCCATCTTGCTGGCCACGACACACACAGACGGAGCTTTTTGTAGCTTGGCCTATTCTTGAGGAGGGAGTAGGACCCGCCGCCACAGAGCGAGCAAGTATCAATCTGCCCAGCCGAGTGAAACGTAGCGCGGTTGTGCAATCAGTAACAGGGAGCACTAAAAAAAGAGTAGAGCAGGAATGGAAATTGCTAAAAATGTACGCGATTTCCTTGTGGGGATGAAGGAGACATTATCCCCTGAGGAAGATCAACTATTGTCAAGTCTTCAGACGTTGCATGAGAAGTATCTTAATATCATGGAAGACTTCTCCGTAGAAGTGTCGGAGAAGGCATTGAGTATGAGTCCAGAGTCACGAATGGAAGCTCACCAGCTACGACTCAAGATCTACCAGGACTGGCGTGCCAGACTAATGGAACGTGTATTTGACAACTCGAAGGAGATCGCGTCGGCTGAAGATGCCAAATCTCACGTGCCTGAGTGTGATTGTTGTTGTTGCGAACTAACACGACGACTCGACAGCTACGAGATCGTGACGGCTGACTACATTCAAGTAAATACTCGAAGCAAGAACCCGGAGAATGACTCTGCTGAGCCTTTTCAACTGCCGGACTTCCTGACCACCTAAGCTGCTGCAATGGTGGTACGCTTAACTAGTTAGGGATATCTCGGCAGCAAGTGCGGGGAGTTGGGAACGTTTGCGCATCTCGTGTGGAACAAAGAGAAGAACTGTATCGCGAGATGGGACTGTTCTTGAAATTCTCGGGAGGCTGCCGAGCAGTAAAATACGTGGGTTAACTACTACTACTACTACAAGCAGGGGCGCTTGCGCGGCGCCGCGATCGTGGAAGTCGCGGCCGCCCCGACGTGAGTGAGTGGGTGTGTGTCGAAACAATAGAGTGCGCCGACTGCGTCTTCGCCGTCACTGGAAGCGCGTGCATTACAGTCGGTTAGTGGTATCATGATCCCCCCGCCTCGATGCGCAGGTTTATAAGCAAGTTTATATAAGTACAAAGGGCTCGTTTTTTGTTTGCTAGTTGCTAGTTGTGCGCAGGAAAGAAGAAAGGAAGGAAGAAGAGATCAATCGTTTAGCTTCGCGCCAGATTCTCCGCTGTACACGCGCTAGCAGGGGCTGAGCCGAGCCAAGGGAGAAGAGTACGCGCGCGTGCAAAAAACCTGCCGAGAATGTTGAGCTTGAGATAGTCCCTTCAGTCTCGACGTTGCAGGTTGGTTGTCAATTAAAAGTATCCTTTGTGTTGTATGGGATGCACTATGGCCAGCAGGACTTTGATCTCGTGTTTGCTGCATGGCCATCTGCTTGCTACGTTGGACAAGTGCAGTTGCATGACGACTGTGTGCTAGTCATTTCAGCGACGGTAGCACTAATGTCAAGATATCTTCACTTGGCAGGCCAGTATATTGACCCGTCTATGCGTCTAAGAATACAGTGACCTCAATCTGCACAAAGACCAGTGATCGCTCGATTCAGAAACTCAGAACAATAGGAAACGCCTGTTTACAGTAATCAATAGTATCAGGGGTATAAATAGGTTAACATTACTAAATTAAACCGCACGTCAAGCGTTCACACTCTATGCGCGAGAAGCTCCAAATTCTGATCCATCAGATTTGATTGCGTCCAAGAAAAAAACGCCGACAAGAAAAAAAATGGAGCGAAAAATCTACCTACCGACGACGACGGCAACGCCTTTTTGACGAGCATATGAGTTGGATCCGACTCTTTGATAGTGGAGTCAGTTTGTGCTGCAAACGAGGCTTGTCATAGCTAAAGCCGTTGGTCCACCAAGATTATTTGGCGTGGGTATCCTGCAAGTTCTTCACCTCGTTGCTTGGTGATCAGGGCTGCAGTACGGCGGCGATATTCGCCCGTCCCCTGTTCATGCCCAAATCTAGTCTTGGTGTGAGTACATGATGAATGAACAAGACGGAAGCGGTGTAGCCGTCGGAGCACATGTCTTTCCATAAGCACAATCCTCCAAACCCTTATCTCTGAGGCACTGACCTGCAGATTCTGCAGCTTCAAGATGAAAAACCCGACGGCGACTTGATTGCAGCGTGCTAAAATTAATGCTAATACGGTGGTGTTGGATGCCACTCATAGCGTTTTGGCTGATCGCCGGGCGTTATCGATGTTTACCGAGTTTTGTGAGGAGACGAACTCCTGGCGTGTAAGACGCACACTGGTCGATGGATTTTGTATTAGTTGTTGGAAAGTACATTGCAGAGACTTCGCATCTGCTTGGTGGGTCGCTACCGTACATGGCACGAACCCGAGTCTTGCTCTGGCCTGGGAAAATAAAGGACATCAAACCATTTTCGTAGTCGCGACTTTTCAAGGCAATGTATGATTAGTATGGAAGTGAAATGTGACGGGGTGATCAGGACTTTCTGTTGAAGTGCCAGGCGAACCGACAGCATTAACTGTCAATGAAGGCAGAAAAAACATCGATCTCATTTGGATCGTGGCGATGTTTGGTGTGAGAGTCAGCCACTTTTGGAAAAAATGCGAAAGCGTTGGGCCGTCGTGCAACACATCTGCACGACTGACTCAACGGCAGCACCTGTGAGTCAGCCAGAGTGTCGACTAAACGCCGTATCGTTTTGCATCGAACAATGTTCGATGAACATCATTGAAAAGCGACACCTGCTGCCGCTTTTTGACCTACACTAGCAGGTGTGACTACGACGAGATAAATTGAGGAAAACGATACACGAGACATTTGGTATTCAATGACAACAAGACCGATCAAAACATGGTAGCTTCGGTCATTTATTAATGTTACCATATCCATAATGTTATTATTGTACGCCCATTCAAGAAACGTGGTCCACATCATTCCACATTTCGCCGACTTTCAAGCAACATGGTGCGTGGAGTTGATGCGTCTCTCGCTGTTGGGGCCGTGTTAACCTGCCCTCTCTGTAATGTTTCCTGCTTTTTTTCATGTGCAGGCAGCAGACCGATTTAACATCAACCGACAGTGGGAGCATCTACAGGCCAAATACGTGGGCACAGGCCATGCTGACACCACCAAATTGTACGTGTTTGATAGCAGCAAACTGGTGGGTGCATTTCTCGTACTAACGACTGTGGCTGTGGCATTGCTGCTGCAGTGAATGGGCAGTGAACCAACACCGTGATACATTGGCGTCGCACTTGGGCCATTCAGACATGATGGCGTACTTTGCCGTGGCGGAGAACGAGAGTATGGGTCGAGTGCGCTATAACATGTTGGAGAAAATGCTGCAGCCCTGTGGACCCCCACCACAGAAGGAAGAGGAATAATGACGTGCTACTGGACCATTTCTTGTAAGAGTTGAGGTCATTTTAGTGCATGAAATGCAAATAGGTGCACGTGACATTGTGACCACAGAAGATTAAGCTGTGTCTTGTGCTGTGCGTGGTGTTTGCTATTTACCAGAAGGTCTGTAGCGAGTAGCCGTAGGTTCAGCTTGACCCATGGACGATTGGACGATACATTTGTTCCTCGAGACAATGTAGATCTCCATTATTGCCGTGATCAAACTACTTCTTTCTACTCTTAAGTGCACGCGCTGCTTTCGCTGTGCTACCATTTTCATTGTACATATTTGCACTAGAGATGTTCAACTACATTCAAAAGCCATCATTTGTTCCGTCCTGTCAAGGAACGAAATACGGTCTATCCCTTGCACACAAGACATCCATTTACAGCACTATTTGAAGGATCTCTGGTCTTTGATTTTCTGTTCCGTATGTTCTTTTCAAGAAAAGTGATCACTATCCGAGTCGCTCTATTTAACATCCAGTCGAGGTGGTTAATGTTTACAGCGGTCCATTACAAGATCTCTGAAAGGGCCTAAGCTCAGAATATGTATCCTGTTGGCTAAGCCGTTCCGACTACAAGCTTGACAATGGTGTCTTCCATTGCTAGGCGGAGGTAGACGCCATTGCTGATATCCCTATGTCGCTGTTATTCCTTTATAGCAACTGCTCGAAGTTGGCGAAGAAGGCGCTACCTCTTGCTCTGTAGACGCACTTCCCTACTCCTGTTCCGCTGGATGCATTTGAGCTTAAAGTTACACCCTTGAGCGGATGATACCTCCGATCGCGTCCAGTGCGTGATGAGGTATGCCCAAGACTTGGTCACTCCTACGTAGTCCTAGAGGATGTAGGAGTCCTTCGTGTTGCCCGGGTCAGGCCAAATGCCTCTTGCATGTTGAGTCCGTTTCGCGTCACAGGTTCAACTGATGGGCAGAACTCTGTAGCATACCCAGACCTGGTATTCCGTTAGAGTGTGTTCGTGTTTCCAGAGATGTGCCGATGACTGTGACATTGGGAAGTGGTTGCTGTTCTGGAGTCATCTCGGTGTTGTAGCCTATTGCTAAATGTATCTTCCCTTCGTCGTGATGGAAGGGTTGGCGTTGTAGTGTCTTGAAAGCGTGGATGTTGTTAATGGAGGGTATTGAGCTCCATGAAAACCTATGTAGCTACGGATGCGCTATGAGCCAAGCACCGTCTTCCGTGTTTGCTGTTGTAGATTCACCAGCTCCTGTTGATCACTTTCGGGCACATCTGTCATGTGATCAATGATCCAGGAAACTCCGTTGTTGGCTTGGTAGAGGACGATAAGGGCAAAATGGCCGCCGACGTGCGCTTGCTAACGCCCCCCTGGCTCAATATTTTGACGTGTCTGCTTGGAGCTTCTCGTCGAGTTGAATCTCAGCTGCATTCGTACCTTCTGTCCAAAAGAGCTGTTTTATGTACATAAAGCTGCAATGGACGCTCTCTTTTCTATGGTGCGGGTTTATCTATCATCGGTCAAAAACAGTACAAGTTGTCTACATAAAAAGAACTACTAAAAAAGAGCTATAGTGTGTCGTCACTATTCGGAACAGTGACTATCCGCACTCTGAGCTCATTTGACAATGCGCTTCCGTCCATGCATCGATATTCACGCTGGCGAGGTCAAGCAGATTGTCGGTTCTACACTCACGGACAGTAAAGATGCAGAACCTGTCACGAACTTTGTAGCTTCACAAAGTGCTGGTGATTTTGCCCGGTATTGTCCCTCCATTTCGTGCAACATTGTGTCCTTTGTAACGGGTTGTGGTGCATGTTGCTAGAATGTACAAGACCAATAACTTGATTGGTGGTCATGTCATCATGTTGGGTACATCACAAGTCAATACAAATGCAGCTTTGGAGGCTTTAGAGGCTTATCCCGGTCGACTCCAAGTAGGCGGTCAGTTTCTCGAGCTTTTTTCATAGATATCTCTCTTGACTGGTATTATTGACACTAATATTATTGTATTTTTCATTATTGTGGCTACTCTTAGGTGGTATAAATGCCGACAATTGCCAATTTTTCATTGAAAAAGGTGCAAGTCACGTGATTGTCACGTCATACGTGTTTCGAGATGGTCAAATTGACTTTGATCGGCTCGAGAAGCTCAAGCAGCTCATTGGCAAAGAACATTTGGTGCTGGATCTGAGCTGTCGGAAGAAGGTGGAGGACAATAAGTTCTATGTGATGACAGATCGCTGGCAGAAGTTTACGACGACGTCTATCGAGTACGTATCGAGACAAAAGACAGAGTCAATGCAGTGTTAAAGCTAACACTGCGTGTTACTGTGGGTTGTTTTGACGTAGTGAGGCTCTGTTTCACCGTCTTGCTGAATATTGTGATGAGTTTTTAGTCCATGCTGTGGACGTTGAAGGCAAGCGGTGTGGCATCCAAGTACGGACGTATTGTCAGACGTAGTAATGTGGAAGAGAAGAGATCTTAACAATGTGGCTTGTGTTGTATCCTTTTTTTAGCAAGAGCTTGTGAAGCTTCTGGCAAAATGGTGCCCCCTCCCCGTTACGTATGCTGGTGGTGCCAGTTCCTTGGTGCGTTGACTTTCTTGTAATTAATATACCTATAATGATCAATGAAGGGTACGATATTATTCACTAAAGGATGTTTGTATCTTGCTGTGGTTTAGGATGATCTGGACTTCGTGGAGCGTATTGGCAACGGCAAGGTGATAAACAATCCGCTAGTAGCAAGGATTCCTCATACGCTTGTTTTGTAAATCGATTTTGGCTGACGTCTTCTTCTTCTTTTGCGATTTTTATGCAGGTGGACCTTTCGATTGGTAGTGCTCTTGACATCTTTGGTGGTGATATTCGCTACGAAGATGTGGTTGCGTGGGACAGGAAGCGTGCCAGCAACTAGACTTCTTCGTATAGACGACGTGTAAGGGACTCCCGTGCTCTCGCAGTCTGTGTCGATCGCCCAAAGTACTAACATGTCGGCACAATTTTTTTTTGCAAATATGGTTCGAACAATGCGCTAGAAATAGGATCATATGGCCACATTTTAGCTTGTCAGTTGTCTCGTCCGAGCAGATTTCATTTTGGAAGGGCTGTTAGTATGTTCTTAGTCTGAAGAACGCATGCGTGGAAGCGAGAACGGGCTTGTTCTTGTCAGAGTCCTTTTCACCATGTATCGTGCAAGCATCTTGTGCCTCAGTTGGCTGGCTGTTCTGTTCTGCAGCGACTTTTTGTGGTGCATGCATTTCTCGCTATCCACTGAACACACCGCTGGATACAACAAACGAGCTCTCGACGACGCTGGATCTTCAAAGTCATATAGAGTCCCGGATAAGCTGAAACAATAGTACAATGTTGCCTGCGCAGCGACTCGAGGCCAGTTCATGATGCGTACTCACGTTTTCGAGATTCGAGGTCTCATCCTTCTGCATCTAAAAATGAAGCAGTCACCACAAAAAGGATCTATGGAAGTACCTTGCTGATGGATCCAAGCAAAAACCTTCATCAGCTCTGCTCAGACGAAAATAGGTGGTGCCATGAGCGGTGCATTTTTGTTCAACTAGTCATTGAACTAAGTACAGCAACCGCCGACCCAGGGAATTACAGTAGCCACATTGCTGTGTCCAGCACAAGTAACGCTCAGAACTTAGATCACTAAGTTGACGTTTGGCAACGCAATCGCAGATTTAGGTGTGCATTTCCACAGCGAGTGAAAAGCTGACGACTGCCAGATCCAGCAGGTTTCTTGCAAGCACAACCCGTTTCTTTCCGACGCTGCGAGCAAGACGGCCTGCTCGACAGAAGTAGAGAAGCGCGACTTGGTGAATCCAATCGAGTCAATATCCGCGATAACAATGACACGGTCACTTCTGCGCTTTTGCCGTCATTCCGTTGTGATTGGGTTGCTGTGATGCAACTTGGTCATGTAGGTGGATGTTTTACTGCCGTACAACCCGATGCCAACGCAATGAGCAAGACCATGGCCATCTGCTTTTGTCGTTTCGAGAATCGCCTCAACCTCGACTCAAAGCAACTTGAACTAGCTGCTGACATCTTTAGCTCATACATTCTGCCCACGCACTTTGGTCATACATCTCAATTAATACGACCGTTGAAGTGCCATGCCGGGGTCACTTTCTGCTTCGCCGACGCACTGCTGCTATTACCTTTGCTTTTGCGCTTCTGCGTGTATTGAAGATCCCTGTCCACTTCCCACATTGACATTTGTGCTCTTCGGCTTTGCAATGAACCGACTTGCTCGTCTTCATCAACAACGAATGTATCTAGAAAAGAAACAACAACCCGGCGAAAGAGTTCCAAACGATCGGCAGGTGACGGATTATATTGACTTGCTTCATTACGCGCCAGCATCGCGTCGTTCATGGTGGCTTTGACCTTGCATTTCCTACCTCACGGTAGCTTGACCACCGTGTTCTGTTCCAGGTGCAGCACCGTCTTCGACAACATATCGAGTTGGTCCAGATCCACTGTCGTCGAAGGTCCACGTTGCACACTAGCCATTGGCTTAGGCCAGACCAATTGTTCTGCCTCCGACACGTTCCAGTTCAATGACGAACAATCTGTGCCCATTAATACAAAAAAGTCGTAAGTCAACTCATCCGCCCGAAAAAAAGGCTCCAACAATGCACGAAATCTCTCTCACATTGCAAAGCATCTTCCTGTCGAGCAAAGCCCAGTGCCAATGCCACGTCAGCTATCGAGATGGTTGAGTATGCAACACTCAGTAGTTCTGCTGTGGCTTCACGGGTTAAAACTGCCGATAAAAACAAGACCCACACGCATCCGTCTATCAGTATATCCTCCTTCCTAGAACCAAAAGTACAAACGTGACGCACTCTTCAGAGCCTCAACAAGTCCTTGTAGCATTGGAGACCAGTTATAGTCCATTGCAACGTACGCGGCAGCCAAATTCCTGCCATAATCCAATAGTCAGTCCTATGTAATCGTCATTTGATGACCCATTTCTCATCGTACCGATGCCATAGCGCTTTGCCAATCTCCCAGACCTTCTGAAGTTCTTCAGATGTCTCTTTTATCTCAATTTCAATACGTTTCCACAGGAATCGAGCGTCATTTAGGTCCTTAGACAGCAACAAAAGCAGCAAAGAACTCGCATAAAAGTCGCCCGAAAGCGTAGACGCTTGTATTAAAGGCGTTGCAGCTGCAGCTACAAGCTCCAATTCCTCTGACAAATTCTTCAGTTGCTTGAGAAGATGTTGCGCAGTGTCGCGGTCTCTGACGGTCACGTACGTTGCGAGAAGTTCGTCGCGCTGCGTCTGCAGCATCGCGACCCGATTGTCCATTTTCGATATGTAGAATAATGTGAATGAGATAGAAATGGGACTATTTCTAAAGCTGAGGCGTGATTTGGATCCCCTTTATCGTCTATTTGATGCATCACAAATCACATCTCAGACTCAGAAACGAAGGGATAAATACATTTCTGAGTCTTCTTTATCTATTTTTTTTAAAAAAACAGAAGAAAAATAAAATGACGTCGTCTGAGCAGTTTTTGACCAAAAAGTACGAGAAATGGAACAACTTTCAAGTACGTAATCCTTCACTTCCTCTTATTGTTATGCATTGTCGAGCGAATCTGCTCGTTTGATTGCACCCTTTTTACGTTCAGTAGATTTAACAATACCGCCTTTTTTCCTTCTCCATTATCTAATTTATACTTTTTTAACGTATAGGAGGACTCAGATTCTGATACTGACGATGTGCTTCGTGTACCCACTCAATTCGACGTAGAAGGCGATGGTTCGTACTGTCATTTTTATAAATGTAGCCATCTCTAGAACGGTAGCATAATTCTCTTGCTACCTGCCTTTTTAGCGGACATTATCATCAGTACGGAGATGCTCTTAACATCGAATCAGGTGGAGCGATATCGGAAATTGGAGAAGAAACACCTTGAAGTATGGCAAGTTGTGGTACGACAGCTTCGAGTCTGGTCGGCTTCAAGTACTGGAGCTGAAGAGGGACAAGATGCTGTACCTTGTCGCCCATATTGCGTGCTCGTGAACAACTTGTATCCATTGGGTCAAGTCGTATTGAAGAAAATTTGTGATCCACCTGAAGTGTACCCATCTACGGAGACGGTACTGGAGCTGACGTTGCAGGCTATGGTGGATCCACCGACAAATACGCCTCAGCATCGTCCGGACAAGATTGTTTTTCCAGACAAACACTTTGTTGGAAAACTACGGAAGAGTTACTCGGCTTTGGCAATTGAGTGCTCGTATCTGTCTGAATCGGACGGTATCGACGCTTACATTCAGTACGTTGATGGTGTTTTATTTTGCAGAAAGAGTGGGGTGTCTTTATGTGTTATGGTTGCTTGTATGCAGGGAACTATCACAGCACTTGATTCGAAAGGATCTTGCATCAGTAGCTGAAGTGAGTGAGCGTCCAGGACTGGTCTCAGGTCCTGGTGTAACTCCTGAAGCGCTTGCTGCTTTCTACTCGGCCTGCGAGCAATACGCAAAGCTAGAGCCGTGGGATCACCTCGCTGAGCGCCAGGCCATTCAGATTGACGCTGTCGGTGATGAGGAATTGCGGCTGGATGCCCGCCACCACGTTAGCAGAGGCACTGTGTTCTCGTCTGTCATCAACACACACACGGACACTGGGCCAAATGGCGAGGGTGGGGATCATATTCGTGGCATGGCGTTATTCTTCACACGTGCAGATTTGGAACGTCGGGTGCTACCACCTGGTGAGCAGCTTGCCCTCATGCAAACCCCGGAGTTGCGTCGATGTGCAAAGTGCGACAAACGCGCTGCTCCTGACAAGGAACTGAAGCGCTGCACGCGCTGTAAATGCACCTTCTACTGCAATGCACAGTGCCAGCGTGGTCACTGGAAGGACCACAAGGTCAGTTGTACTCCGCTTGGAAGCACTACAAGCGGTACTGCGGAGCATAAGATCGTATGGGGTGCAAAGGAGATGTCAATCCTTTATGGCCCACAGACTTCTGTGCCGTTTGACGACCTGGACGTCATTGCAAAACACTCGCTCCCAATTGCCAAGGTCAAGGGCGACACATTGTACCCGTCTGCTGTAGTGTTCCGCAAGGGCGATCCGAGCGTGCCCGATGTGACCGAGTTGGCTTGGTTGACTCGAGGACTAAACGCACAGATTGAGGTCATTAGTAACCACCCGCTTTTCATGCAGAAGACAATGGGTGAATTATTGGGGCTCGACGAGCACGATGGCGAACAACGTAAGCTGAAGCTGAGCTGTAAAACGTTTGGTTTCAGTGACCAGCTTGTCATTCGCAACAGCACTGTGCTCACCATGCAAGATGTGGAGCGGTTGCGCAAGGTGATCAAGAAACAGCAAACAGCTACTCAGGATACTTCTGCCAATGAAAAGGTAAGCGATGTGAATGCGAGTACGGAGAATACGAAGGATGGCAAGGCCGAGAGCGAAAGCGACGACGACGACGATGAAGGTGCCGATCTGAAGGACGGAGAGACAAACTGCGTTGTCATGTAACGAGCACGCCAGTGAATTTGCAGCAGACGGGCACTATGCAAAGAAGAGCAAGACAGATAATGTTAAATATATTCTTCGGTTCTTTACATGGAGTAATGGATATGTCAGGTATTCAATCACCATTGTGGTTGCTTGTAGACATCACGGTGGAAGAACGGAGCAAACACAACTGCCATAAACAGCAGTGTATCCAGGCGGTCAAGCACACCACCGCCTACACGTAAGTATGACCCCGTTTCGGAAACATTGGCAATTTTCTCGAGGCTCGCAAGAAAAAGCTTGCCTATATGAGCACATACGACAGCAGCGACACACACTAACGCGACGAGCTCAATGTTCATGTCAAACTCCACGAAATCGGCAGCGAGGACCGCAGCGCCGACTGCGAAGCCGATCGCCCCAAACAGTCTTTCAAAGTTCTGTTGAGATGACACCACTGAAAATGGATGCATCTGCGAAAAGTGCATCGCCTTCAGAATGCGCTCCGTAAGGAACGCTCCAAACTCAGCGCTCCACACAATAACAAAGAATCCTGCCAATGCGCCACTGGCATGAACTCGAGTCGATTGCTCGAACAGCTCTAGCACGACTGCAGAGCAGCTCAAGTAAAGCAGACCGGTGATATCGAGCACGATCATAAGGGCCAATTCCATTGAGTCTTTGCTCGTTACCGCACGGGACATCAACAACAAGCCCACAGCAAGCAGCAAAAGTGAGTACGACTCCACCACCATTGCTAAATACTTGTCCATGGTGCGTCGATTGTCTGGTCCTTCAAAAATACTACTACCACCCACAACACTCGGTTCTTTCGTATATGTACGTAGCACCACGTTCAACGATGAAAGAAAGAAGTACGTATAACGGATAATCACGCACACTGCTGTCGGTGTATTTGGTGCCAAGGTAGCCGACAACATACCCACAAAGGTACAAACTCCAACATAAATCACAGGCATGTGGGTAATTCCCGGCACAAAAGCCAAACCCACTGCTCCTCCTGCAGCAAGAAAGGAAAACCCAACTGCTGCAAGTAGTTCATTTCCACCAAATCGTTTCTCAGCTATCCACGTAACTGCCCGTGATTCTTCATCCACTGCATACGCAATCATCTGTCGATACATTTCTCGTGATGTGTGTTTTTCATATAATTTAAACGGCATCAAGAGCTTCCGCCGAACACGATAAGCCAGCCATGCATACTCATAGCCTGCAATTGCTACAAATACAGCGTAAATATATGGCAAAGCTCCTCCACGACGGACACTGCTTTCAATGCCTATGGGCATGTACGCAGCTAATATGACACCTGCAGCAATAATCAAGAGCACGAGCGAGTCAAAGAATAATCGAATGATTGAGTAGCGACTTGAGTGCTTGATCGAGAGTTTGTCCTTGTGCCATGAAGACTCGACACTATCTTCTGTAAATTCTGGACCTCGTAATATTGCAACAGATGATGGACGTGTGATTTCAAACATATCGGGATCTCGTGGTGGAAAAGACGAGATAAAAAACATGCCACCACCATCACCTAAGACTGGATGCAGGTCGATACTGGAATCCATTGGTACAGGTAGAAAACAAATTGTGGGCCACTAGGTACTAGTCAGAAAACGAGTCAGCACGGAGAGGGGGACTACGGTACAGTAACCGGTAATTCTTTTTTCAGCTTAACCCATCTTCGTCGAGCACCTTACGTTCCAGCAACATTGGTACTTCAACCTGATCAGGAGCCTAAGTTAGGCTCTTGCATTGTCCTGCTTCATACTTTAGGACGACAGAATATTTCTGATACGGATGATATTGTTTAAGAGGTATATCCGGATACACAGGGATTTGGTGCTATACGACGCGAAGAAATGGCGCACGTTTGTAGTACCGCCATGAGGGAGTCGTTGCAAACAGACCATCAGAACTATCCACGGAGTTGGAAGGTAACAGCTGCATAAGAGTGGAACAATTGCAGCTTGACAACGGTATCTAGGCTATAAGAAGGACATGGACCCCTCAAAAAAGCTGTACTATCATAATCCGACCGACCTGCTCTTTCTGTCAGATTTGTCCGTTTGTATCGATATCTGTCACATAAGTCCTATAAAGAGGCGCATCTGCTGCCAAACCAACACTAATCTTGGTCGTTGCATCCTGCACTCGAATAAGACCATGAACAATCTTGGACAAAAACTTTAGCCTAAGCGTTCTGTGGCTCATTGTCCACTAGAACTGCTAAAAAACGGAGTCGTACTTTAGCCTCTATTCTTCTTATTTGTAAGAAAAAGCCGTCGCTGATCAACGTCAGATCCTTTTTCGATCGACATGTTCGCGTATATTGACAACCAGTACTTCAACTATAATTTTCTACTACTGTAGTATATCCTCGACTTTTGAGAGTGATATGTTCTGATTTTTTTAAGAAACCCATCTGTTTATTAAGCCAGATTGGCTTACCGCATTTCTTGATGGTGATTAAGTAGATGGGACATTGATTAACATGATCAGACGCTCGAATTTTTTTGACGCAGCATAGAAACAATCAGCCGCATCTTGAACATGGTTTTTTTCGATGCGATTGCACAAATACATTCTATTTATTCACTTTTTAATCGACCTTATTTTCTAATTAACTGTCATTCAAATATGACCAAAGACACAAATTTCGACAATCTCATCCCAAATGATGAACCAATGGTTCAAGTCAAGGACCCGACCACAAAATTACAATGGAATGTTCAGCCTTCTGATTTTTCCAAACTCTGCTCAAACCCTATCCGGAAAATCGTGGACAATCTTCAAAAAACCACGACTTCAAGTAAAACCTTGATCTCACTCTCACTCGGTTTGTCGCAGCTTCCTTCTTAAATATAATAAAACGTTTGATACAATGGAGCCTAATATAGAGTTTTTGAAAAAAAAACAGGTGATCCAACAGTGTTTGGAAATTTGCACTGTCCTGATGTATTGGTGCAAGCAATCATTCGTAACACTCGGTTAGTGATTGTAACGTTTATGTAACGTGACCTAAAACCAAAAAACCTCTTTACTTTTATTTTTTTCCAGATCGATGCAACATAATGGCTACATTCATTCGGCTGGTTCCGAAGTAGCCCGTGCAGCAATTGCTCAGCACTTTGGAAGTATAAGCGCTCCATTGACATTAAATGATATTATCGTTGCCAGTGGATGCTCCGGTGCCATTGAAATTGCTCTTCAAGGGTTAGTAAACCCTGGTGACAATATTCTTCTCCCGAAACCAGGATTTCCATTGTACCAAGCCCTTTGTGAAGCACACAAGGTTGAGTGTCGATTTTACAACCTCATGGTGAGCTTTCAGCAAAGAATGTCAATTGTATCGGGTATTTTGTGCTCATTAGGCGTCTCTTTTGAATGATTCAATAGCCAGAACACAATTGGGAGGCTGATCTGGACCACATGCAGTTCTTGGTTGATGATAATACCAAGGCTATTCTCGTGAATAATCCATCCAACCCGTGCGGTAGCGTCTACTCAAAGGTGATGTCAGTCAACATTCTTAATTGCATCACACGCTAACATTTAGTTTTTTATGTTTTGTAGCCTCATTTGAAGGACATTCTTGCTTTGGCAGAGATGAACAAAATCCCTATCATTGCAGTAAGCAGAATCCTACTGCTCTTTCTACTGGGTCTGTGGGTTTTGTATTTAACGAGACGGACTGATGATTTAGGATGAGATCTACGGTGACATGGTATTTGGAAGCAACATGTTCTTCCCCATAGCGACTTTGACGAAGACGGTTCCTGTAGTGGCTGTCAGTGGTTTAGCCAAACAATTCTTGATCCCTGGCTGGAGGGTAGGCTGGGTCATGGTGCACGATCGCAATAATATCCTGAAAGACGTGCGCACTGCCTATTTCAAGTTGTCTCAGAATATTCTTGGAGCAAACTCGCTGGTTCAGGTACAATCTCGAAGGCTATCGTGTTAACTTATTCTCATTGCTAGTATAATTTCGGGTGTAACTTGCCCGTCCTCATTGCTGTCACGCCAGAGTATAATTCCGGATGTGCTTACACCTGTTCCCGAAAGTGCTGAAGAGCAATCATTACTGGATTTCAAGAAGCGCTATTTTACGACTCTGGAGGAAAATGCCACGTTCACGATCGAAACTCTTGCAAGGATCCCGGGTCTGGAAGTGATCGTCCCTCAGGGCGCGATGTACGCGATGGTATGTACAAAGCTGCAACAGTATGTAGGACAGGAACCTATCATTGTTTATTCCTTTGTGGCAGGTGAAAATTCGAACCGACATCTTAACTAAGATCAAGGACGACTTAAGCCTCACGCAAAAGCTGCTGGATCAAGAAGCTGTATTCGTGTTGCCTGGACAGGTACCTAATTCCACGACGAAGCAATTGTTCATTTTGTCTTACGCATATCAACTAACTTCAGTCGTTTGCTTTGGAAGTGCTTTGGAATGACCAACTACTTTCGGATTGTGTTCGCAGCACCACACGAGGTACTGGCCGATGCCTACATTCGCCTCGCCCAGTTCTGTCGCCGCCATCAGTGATGGACACAAAAGTTGCCAAGTATGATTTGTAAAAACCGCATATTTAATTTTATTGTAGGTTTAAAGTGCTAAAGAAGCACTTTTACTACATAAAAGCTATGTTTTAATTATTAATTTTTAAATATTAGGATCAAGGAACTACGTACCAGCCATGCAGATAAGGTCGCTGCATCTTTGCCGTCTTGGACTCCGGAGCGGCCGATTTTTTCCTTACTCTGCATCAATCAATCGGTCATTCTCTGCTCTTGTCGACTCGAAATGGGTTTGCAATGCACAAGCCTCGAATGATCCACAGTTGCTGCTTTTGGACTGTAATCATCCAGTCTCGTTCCCTCGTGGCCATATTCCCAATGCTGTCCCCTTGACGTTAACTTCGTCTCTACTCAAGGATCCGACACCTCAAGCGACGGGTGTTATAAGTCCCCAGCTGTTTCTGGACGTGATGCAGATGCTGCAGGTGCCCAAAGACGTGACGCTCGTCTTCTACGACGATGAAATGAGTCTTCGAGCTACGAGGATGTGGTGGGTCTTTCGTCATTATGGATTCCCACTGGAGCAACTTAAAATATTGGACGGAGGCCTCAAGCAGTGGCTTGCTGATGATAACGAGATGGAGACAGGGGAAGTAGCAGACAGAGAGATTACGAGAGATTTGTGGATGCAGCCTGTGACGACGCAGAAACTTGTGGGGTTTAACATGGTGCAAAAAGGACTTGCCGATGCAGTCACGCAATTTGTCGATACACGGTCTCCTAGTGAATTTTGGGGAGAAGACGCCCGTGGTAATGCACGGACTGGACATATTCCAGGTGCTGTGAATTTTAATTGGGTCGAAGGAGTGGATTTCCGTCAAAATGGAAAGTTTAAGAGCAGGGAAGAGCTGGAGAAGGTGTTTGTGGACATCTTCCACCTAAACAAAGAGAAGCCCGTGATCACTTATTGTCAGACTGGAATCCGCGCTGCTCACACGGCGTTTGCGTTGGAGCAGGTGATGGGGTTTAAGGATGTCAAGATTTATGAAGATTCCATGCTGCAGTACCTTAACAGGGACGACTCGGAAGTTACGAAGCAGTAGGGCGTTAATAAGTCGGGATACTTGATGAAACGCAACAATTCGTTTTGATCATATCGTGGCAACAGCTATCCCGTGATGACACTTTTTACTGTGGACATGAAAATCAACTGTAAGGAGGTAAAGAGATGCAGTCACCCTATGATGTGCCAACAACAGTGATGTACCTGACTCACGTAGACATCAAGGATGTTCCTCTGGCACAAAAGCCCTCTTGTACCATTGCGTTGGCGACAGCGACAGCGACAGCGAGATCTGCAGCGATCTAGTCCCACTAATACAGAAACATCCTCCAGACGCGCAATGACCAACATAACATCAATCCATGCATTTTAGCACAGTCCTAACAATACTTGCATGCATAGGTCTTCTTCTTGGCCTTGCTTTCCGGCTAGTGAGGTAGAGGAAAGCAGCCTGAGAAAGAATGGTGTTGTTGAGTCATCATAATGATAGCAGTCCTAATAAATAGGATAGTAAGAAATGCATTGCGATATAGGTCTTCATAGAACACATTGGCAGCAGAAAGTGGTATATCATTGTCATCAAGTGTTCAGCTACTTCGATGCAATGCACAGGCGACGACACGAATAGCCAAGTACCGCTGGAAAAGCGCGACACGTCCTGCAATTACCTCACAATTCGTCATGAGTGTCATCATCTCCGTCAGCCGCTCCGCCATCGTCAAACTCATCCACATATTGGCTAACGCGCAACGCCTGTGCGATATCGTTCTCAATCTCCAATGGTGACGTGGTGGTGCCATATCGCTTGACCGGTTCATGGTTAACAACCAAAAACTTGGTAAAGTTCCACTTGATATCATTCGTGACAAATCCATCCAATTTCTTCTTCAAAAGCTGAAACAAAGGGTGTGCCTTGTCTCCATTTACATCCACCTACACATCAATAAGATCACAAAAACAATGATACTCTCTTCTCTTTCATCTTCCTTTCCCACTGATCCGTACCTTAGAAAAGATCGGGAACGTCACGTGGTATTTTTCCTGTGTAAACTTCATGATCTCATCAGCTGTACCAGGTTCCTGTCCTCCAAACTGATTGCACGGGAAGCCCAATACTGTGAACCCTTCATCGTAATATTTCTCCTGTAATTTCTGTATTCATTGCACCAACATCCAGCAATCAATAGTTACTTTATCAGTACATACATTGCAAGTGTTGGCGTCATTGCATTGCACCTGTAGTTCGCGGTAATTCTTGTCCGTGTAGCCACATTTACTTTTGTCATGCAGCTATAGAGGACCGTCCCGATTTTACATGTATCATCAATGCCTTGTAAAATATTGCATCGTTATCTAGTGTCTCACGTGTAAACTCGAAGGAGCGAGACAATTTCCTGCTGACAAATGGGGCACGTGGGGTATTCGAACGTACAGTTGTGGCGATACGTTTCAGCATCCTTCTCACAGAAACACATATGGCCGCAAGGCACGACGGCAGTCACGGCTTGCTGATCCTTGCACACCACACACTCACTCTTCTCCAGAATCACGGCATTCTTTAGTGCATGAACGTTACGGTCCACTTCTGCAAGCAGGCTGCGAGTTGTCTGCTCGAGCAAGCGCTTTTGGTCGGCTACAAGTGCCATCTTATCGTTCATATGCTCACAGAGCTGCTCGTACCGTGACTTCACAGAGTTGTCTTGCTCCACGCGCACCTTCTCGAACGCAAAGCGCTTTTCTGCATCGCACAACAGCACTCGAAGCCGATCTACTTCCACCTCTGCAGCATCCAATTTGATTAGTGAATCATTGAGCTGATCAAGAAACTCGTCTTCGCGCTGCTTCCACTTGCGACGCAGTTGCCGCTCTCCCTGTAGCCGTCGCTGCCACTCAGTCTTAATCTCTGCATTGCGTTTCTTAAGATGCTCAAGTTCACTAACAAGCGAGGCAACAGACTGAGTATTATCATCGCTACCCGTGTAGTCTTCGTCGCCGTCGCCGACATCGTCAACACTACCGATTTGACGACTATTGCCAGATTGTGATCGAGCTGCCCCCGAGCCACTACTAGCATCATTGTGGGCATCTGTCTGTTTCTGCGTCACAGCCTTTTTCGCGCTTGACAAGGGCGTCATTTTAGTCCTATTTGACACTTGCGTTTCTTGATCGTCAGAGTTACTGCAGTTTTTTTGTTGCATAGAGGTATCCTTAGCTCGTTTCAGAGCTCTCTCTCGCCGACGCTGGACCTTGCACTTTTCTTTTAGATCAGCTGCCAACTGTACACGGTTTGGTTCCTTAGTTTTTGACATAGGTGGTCCTATCCAATGGCTTAAGTTACGGACTCCACAAACCCAGCAATTATTCCCACGACTCGGAACCATCCATCGCGCCGCAAAAATCTCCGTAGGGTCAACGTTTATATAGCCGTCATTTTTCTCAATATCCTCGTTACTTGGATTTGTCACCACGGCCATCATTGCTTCAGACTGCGTTTTCTTACCGTTCAACATGATGAGCGGCGTATATACCTTCATCGGCGTCTTGAACAACGTATTTTCCGAGGCATTCTTGCCAATGATGCGCAGCTCTGCCACCTCACTAGAGCCCACATCAGGTAGCTTGTTTGAGTAGTAAAAAATGCCCTCCGTAGACACGGCAATGATAGCCTTTCCGTCATCACTTGCCGATAGTGATTCAAGCATAATGTTGGATCGACGCGACGTACCGCCCCCACCGCCACCAATCTTTTCCAGCTCAAACTCCTGGCGAGGCAATCGTTTACAAGTGCTAAAGCTCGGTGAGTCTGGAAAACAGATTCGGTATGCTTCACCCATAAGTGAAATACCATATGCGTACTGACCGTGGACAGCGATGATATCCGAGGTATTCGGAATGCTAAAATGAGTAGTCACTGTGTGATTACCACCAAGATAGCTTGTAGCATCGATTTCTGCAACGTGATCATTGTTGCTCTTCACTATTGAGCTGGAACACGTCTTTTTGAACTCCAGCGGCCAGACACGTAGGTTTTTGTCCTTACAAACCGCTGCAATGGTCAAGACGCCAGGAGAAATGCTTGACGGCAAAAAACTCCCCGTCATTGCTGTGTTACCTCCAGCGAAAAAATTCTGCAAGTGGTTCCAGATGGGTTCTTGCTGATGTCGTTCCGGCTCCACGAAGCGCCACAAATTCAAATTTCCAACTCCAAGACCAGTCAGAATGTAATACGCAGATCTGTTATTGTACGCGAAGAGAACATAATGCAATCAGTTAAGAGCAATGCAGGCAGCATCAAGAAATAATATAATAACAAACATACCTTTTCCTTCTGCTGTTTTGATACTCTTTAGGCAACATATCGGCAGGTGGTACATACGTGGTCACATCAGCAAAGCCCTACATTTTAATTGATATACAAACAACGCGTAAGTAATGAGACACACATCTACTTGCCTGAATGCAACTCACCCGAAGTTTGCCGTTAGAATGGAAATGCTTCTGAAATTGCTGAAAGTCGTCATCGTCGCCATCTGAAAGTAAGTTTATATCAAACACATCAGCGCAGATTCACAGTGAAGGTAGGCCGCAAATACCAATACGCACTTTTTTCGCTTCGGTAATTATCCAAATTGATGCTCATGACAACGCGTGGGCCTTGTCGGCAGCCGACAAAAACATAGCGACCGTCAGGGGCAATTTTTACTCGCAAGTGTACATTGTGTGAGCCCTGCGAAGACTGTTCATCAATGTGACCCAGCAAATACCCATAACGGTCACTGGGCACACTACTATCCATTTCATATAGACGGACTGAACCATCCATAAAGCCAACCACAACAGTCTCTCCGTCCGGCGTTACATCAAGCGCCGTCGCTACACCTTCCATTGAAAAGCAGATTGATCGCTGGGCAACAACGGGGCGGGAGGAGGATAGTAACTTGCGCATCGGGTTAAGACACTGTGTCGGAGAATTAAGAGGCAGTTCATCCAAGCTACTTGGTACCGAAGACGTCGGATCGGCACTGCTACTAGCAACAGCAGTGCATAAAGCATTAGCTATAAGCGACGAGCTTGTCGTTATTGTAGCCGTCGTGTGTTGTGGTACATCATCACCTGACTGCGAAAGATCCAATACCGCGGGGCCACTACCAGGCACAATCACCGTAGATTCTGCTCGTGTAGACACTGTCCGTCGTCCTGGGCTACACACTTTCTTCGTAGGCCTAGCAGGTGATTGTTTCACCTTGGCCTGAAATGATTGGAACGGCGACTTGGCCGTCTTTGTTACTTTCATAATCGTAACAGCTGGTGCAACTTCCACTTGTTCCAATGCTGACGACAATAACGGCGGATATCCATTAATCTTCCTTGACGCAGTAACATCTGCTACGACTGCATTATCCTCAAACATCAGTGGTCGCTTGGGTGACGCAGAAGCTCTGTGTCTCAATGGACTCGTCAGAAACTCACTACGTCGCAAAGGACTGGCTGTAGTTCCCGTCCTTTTGGGTCTCGCTGGACTAGCCAGTACCGGATTTTTCGGTGGTCGTAATGGACTCGATAAATGAAGAGACGTTGGGCTTTTCAAGTTCAGCGGATACTTCTGACGCCGTGTAGGACTTGAAAAAGCCGGAGCTGCTCCAATTACAGCGCGTCGGACAGGGGACAATAAGCCTGCGACGACGGCAGTTCTAGTCGTGACGTCGCTCGGTGGAGGCGACGTCTTGTTCTTCTTGAGCGCTTGTCGGTCCGTCTCGTCTGGTGTTTCTTCTTCCAGCTGTCGCTTCTTCTTCAACGCTTCAACAATCTGTTGGGCGCGATTCTTGGTGCTATTGCGTGAGGCTGCTACGTTCTTCATAATCATCTTCTCCATGTTCATGCGATTCCGCCGCACGTGCTCATTACTGTGCACAGCTTGAGGCTTCTTCGAAGGAGCTGGACGTCCATGCTTCAAGTCAGAGTGATGGTCGTTACTGGCGCCATCCATGTTGAAGGCGGATTTTATCTCGATATTATCCAATGTCTGAGTCCGTCGCTACCAACGAGAGCAAGTGACGATCACTTTTTTCCGCGCTGTGCGCGCCAATGTTAGAATATTCGATTATTAACCAATGAAAAGAGAATAGAATTACAGCCAATCTAAAACGAGGTAAAGCTGGAAAAAATAGGAAGATGCGATTGCTACTGGTGACGCTGGTGGCGCTGACTATTGGCGTGTTTCCAGACAGCAGCGCTGTTGATGTTGACGATAACGAGTCGTTTGTGGAATTTTCCGTGCTAGATCTGCATGGTCGTCAAGTTTCGATGCGTGAGTTTAGCGCCTTTCGAGTGATACTCGTGGTCAACGTGGCGAGTGAATGTGGCTACACGGACAAGAATTACCGCGAACTACAGGTGCAATGCAATGACTCCAACATTTGCAATGTATGTACTGATAAAGCAATTATTGATTGCTGGATGTTGGTGCAATGAATACAGAAATTACAGGAGAAATATTACGATGAAGGGTTCACAGTATTGGGCTTCCCGTGCAATCAGTTTGGAGGACAGGAACCTGGTACAGCTGATGAGATCATGAAGTTTACACAGGAAAAATACCACGTGACGTTCCCGATCTTTTCTAAGGTACGGATCAGTGGGAAAGGAAGATGAAAGAGAAGAGAGTATCATTGTTTTTGTGATCTTATTGATGTGTAGGTGGATGTAAATGGAGACAAGGCACACCCTTTGTTTCAGTTTTTGAAGAAGAAATTGGATGGATTTGTCACGAATGATATCAAGTGGAACTTTACCAAGTTTTTGGTTGTTAACCATGAACCGGTCAAGCGATATGGCACCACCACGTCACCATTGGAGATTGAGAACGATATCGCACAGGCGTTGCGCGTTAGCCAATATGTGGATGAGTTTGACGATGGCGGAGCGGCTGACGGAGATGATGACACTCATGACGAATTGTGAGGTAATTGCAGGACGTGTCGCGCTTTTCCAGCGGTACTTGGCTATTCGTATCATCGCCTGTGCATTGCATCGAAGTAGCTGAACACTTGATGACAATGATATACCACTTTCTACTGCCAATGTGATCCGTGCCTAACTTAGCGTGCCGCCACCGGAATATATGTAACAATATGTATCACCCCTCCAAATCAGTTTCCTAGATTAGGCTTAATCAACGTTTGAGAGTCCTCTCACTTCCTCTTTTGACTGGTTCCGAGCAAGCCAAAAAGACTTGATAATAATATACTATGGGTGATTACGGTCAATACGATGTGCCCAAGGCGGACGAGATGATTAATTTCAAGGTAGGTCAGCCGGCTCCTTCCATGCTGCCTTTGGACAAGATTCGTGAAGCTGCAACGCTCAAGTTTGGTGAGACAGACCCCATGTTTCTGCAATACGGCGTAATCAAGGGCTACCCCAAGTTCCGCAAGACATTGGCCGAGTTTTTGACCAAGGGTTATCAGCATCAAGTAGACCCGGAGATGCTCTTTGTGACCAATGGCGTCACTGGTGGTCTTGCCCTTATTTGCTCGCTGTTTTTACAGTCGGGCGACCTCGTGTTCATGGAGGAGCCGTCCTATTTCTTGGCCCTCAGTATCATGAAGGACTTTAAAGTGAACGTCCGTCAGATTCGTATGGAGCAGGATGGTCTAGATATTGACGAGCTCGAGCGTCTATTGCAGCGTGGCATTGTACCTAAGATGTTGTACACGATTCCCACATGCCACAACCCCACTGGACGCACGCTCTCAATTGCGAAGCGCAAACGTCTCGTTGATCTCAGTGTCAAGTACGGCTTTATTATTATTGCTGATGAAGTATATCAGCTTTTGTCGTTCCCCCACGTGACCCCACCTCCACCCATGTTTACATTTGATGAGCATGACACGGTGCTTGCTTTGGGCAGTTTCTCTAAAATTCTAGCACCTGCTCTTCGGTTGGGCTGGATCCAGGGCTCGCACAAGCTATTGAGCAAGATTGAAGCTTGTGGACAGCTTGACTCGAGTGGTGGCATCAATCCTGTCATTTCCGGTATTGTGCACTCGGCCATCTCGTCGGGTCTGCAGCAACAACATCTGGATACTACGGTGCAGACGCTCTGGAGCCGCGCTGATGCTTTGATGAAGGAGCTGAAGGATCATTTGCCAGAAGGTACAACCTTTGAAGTTCCGGATGGTGGATACTTTGTGCTGGTGCGTCTGGCGGAGGGTATGAACGCCAACGACCTGCTGCCGATTGCTCTGAAGCACAAGGTCATGTTCCTACCGGGTGCCTCGTTCAGTAGCAACATGAAGAACTTCCTGCGTCTTAGTTTCTCGTGGTACGACCTTAGCGACATGCAACTCGGCGCTCGTCGTCTTGCTGACGCCATCCGTGAGTACCAAGAGGTGTTTGCTTCTCAGCAAAAGAATGCGGCAGAGGAGGCCAAGACTTCCACTAGCGAGGGCAAGGGTGTGCGTGTTGCCGTTCACGGTCACGACGGCCGCCTTGGGTCGCTCATTGTTGGTGAGCTTGAGAAGCTTACGGACCACAGCGCCAGCTTTGCGGGACCAATTGTCACGCGTTTTGACACTGGCGTCCAGGCTCCGGATCTAAACAATGTCGACGTCGTTATTGATGTGACGCTGCCTGCCGGTACCAAGAAGGTGATCTCGTATCTGCGCGAGCAGAAGGATGCTGGCAAGATCAGCAAGCTGCCTGCTCTAGTCGTCGGCACCACGGGTGCTCTGCCTATGGAGGATCTGGAGGACTATTCGAAGCTGGCGCCTGTCGCTCTCCGCTCCAACTTCTCGGTGGGTGTGCCCCTTGTGTCGGAGCTCATCAAGGCCGCTGCTTTTAAGCTGCCTGCTGAGGGCTGGAACGTCGAGGTTACGGAGATCCACCACACTAAGAAGCTGGACGCCCCCAGCGGTACCGCCAAGACGCTTGTAAAGTCGCTTGCTACCACGGGAGCTCCATGCCTGGGCGAGACGGGCCAGGTTCCAACGCACTCCTCACGTCTCGGTGACGAGGTTGGCCAGCACACGGTGCTATTCGCTGGCCCGGGCGAGCGCATTGAGATCATGCACCAGGCCACTCGCCGCGAGGTTTTCGCCATTGGGGCTGTGCGTGTCGCCACGCAAGCTCCTTCCATGCCTCTTGGTCTGCACTCTGACTAATCGTGCGAGTTGGAAGTCCACGCTTGTGTACCCTACCAGCATTTGCTCCTCTTCTCTTCTTGTAAGTTGTGGTGAATATCGTACTGACAACGAGAAAGCTTGTGCCTTCTAATAAACTTGTTTTGCTCTCTTACCATTCAGATGTACATCCAAATTTACTTCGTCATGCGACTTGGTCATCTTCTAAGCCAAGAACTGTCCAAACTGCTGAAGCCGTAGATACCAATGCTTAGCGGACTGATTAACTTGCGGCGTTATCACCGCCAACCGCTTCTGACGTCTTACGCACCTACACTTAACGCTGTCAGTTTTGCAATATGCAGACGGTAAAAGAACGATATGTATTATTGACAAGTTTAACGCCGCTCATGAACAGCTTGTCGAGGCGTGTGACAGCTAAATTGCCTCCACAAAAGCCGAGATATACGCATCGTAACTCGTCTGAAGGTCCCCTTTCAATTTGTTGTCGATATCAAGCTGATGGCTTTTTGTATCAGCATTCCATTGTCTAAACAGCTCAAGAAGCAAGGGCGTAGCCGTTGCATCATTATCTTTCCTCCACGCGGCCTCAAGCATTTTGCCTAAAGGTATGTCTCCATAAACAGCTCTGGCTGCTGTGATCAGAGACGCTTCCTTTGTCATTTTAGATTCGAACTTGACCGCAAAGCTATAAAAAATGTCCAGGTTCGGGTTCTTAAGAAGATTATTTTGAAGGTTTAACTCCTCGAATACTTGAACGACCTGACCTTTAAACAAACCATCGCGTTCCTGAAAAAATTTCAGCAGCGGATTCTGTAAGAACTGCACAACCCAATCAGTTCCATCAATCTGTTTCAAACCGCCAAGAATCATCACACGCACGTCGAGCTCGTAATCACGTATCACCACTAGCATCTGTGTGCCCGGCATAAACAAGTTTTTTTCCACATACTGGACCCACATGCGAAGCCGTTCGACGTCAACTGAGTGGTTCGGTTCAGGTTTCAGATTAAGCTTCAACAGCTTGAAGACGTCGCGTGCTGGCTTCTTTTGGTCTTTCCAAGAGGTGATCAACGCAGACTTCAATTGACCCTGTAAGTCTTTTCCGACTTTTGCCTCTTCCAAAGCATCAAGCATCTTCAGAAAGCTTTCATCACCGTGACGTCCCAATAACTTCGGTATCGCTGATTTGATGGCTGGTGGAGCCTCTGCTAGATACCTGATCCAGGCATTATAGCGTTCGTTGCGTAGTCCGAGGTTATTATCCTCGTCAAGCTGTAAGAACTTGTAGGCTTTCTCCGCATAAGTTTCACTTTTCCCCGAAATCCAATCCAGCATCTCTTTTATGAAGCCGGGCGCCATTGAATTGACCCCTTCAATGGCTTTGTCGAACCCAGGTTCGTTAAAGGTCCTTTCTTCTTTAATCGTTTCCACGCCATCCCGCACGAACCCGTGAGTAGGAACATCTTTTTGACTAGGTGTTACAGATCCCATTGATGTTGAGATCGACCTTGTCGATGAGGTGTTGAAACAAGCAAAGAGAAGAGCTACGAAAAACAAGGAATCGAGACGCATGATCGTTTTTCTTCGTTTGCTCCTGCGCTTCCAAGTGAAAATTGATAATGATGACAGCATTGTGCACCTGTCACGCGTCGTTTAGAAAGAAGAGAGTAGAACATTGCTGTAAGGATCGTAGGATGCAGTGGATAGTGTATTGCATCGATCGTAGTTCAAGCAGTAGACAGCCAACCCTGGCCGGTAACCTGGTCAGATGGCAATGCTCTGTCCATGTACTGAGCTGATTGCATCAGCGAGCTCATCCTGATCTTTTCTTGGGTACGCCATAGAAATTCCATCCTCTAAAGTCCCACCCAATTCGATACACAACATGCCGATTGTTGCGACGGCTTCCAAGAATATGGTGTCATTATGGTTTGGGCTGCGTCATCGGCAGTGTATTGCTACATGGGAATGCTGTACACATTGTGGCATCTTGTGGTGGTAAAGGCCTCGAGTGGCACTGTCACAACCTCTGAGCTGCGATGGCTTTCAAGTTTATCACCATGTTTTACGTTTTGGTGTCGCTAGTGATGACGTTCCTGACCTCAAACGAGCAGGTCAATGGACCTACTGACGTGGAATTAGAAGGCCCTATGTCGTACCACCAGAGCGTGACGCCTACGTCAGCTGCGCTGTCTACGATCAGTCACCAGTACGAAGGACGTGCTTCCAAGGTTCAAGATGTCTAGAGAAAGCTTCTTGAAGCTAGCTACAGCATTCCATCATCCCTGTTAAGATCACAACAAGTTCAACGTCTTTATTTGGTGGTATAGTTGGTGCTAGTGGCTTGCTGCTGAATTAGGCAAGATCTATGCAGCTACCTCTTGTTGTTTTTGACGAGCAGCATTCATACAGGATGCTCTTCCTGCTTTATAGCGACAAAGCAGGAAGAGCGAGCATTCTATAGAAAGTCGGCAACAGGCCAAATCTACCTCTTTCGCACGCATCAATTGCTTCCCGCATGTCACTCAGTCGTCGTAACATTAGCATATTTTCTGTCACGAAACAGCAAATCTTAGGCTCCAACAGCACGAAAAAAGTAGTAGCTTTGCCGAGTAAAACTACGTCTAGAACACCGAGATTCATCATCCGCGTCATCATCACCTTCTCCTGTGCCGAGGACACAAACTCAAATATTGCTGCGTGTCCGTGAGCGCATGAGTGATAGTGTCCCAGAACTAGTGATCGTCAAAAAAACCTGCTCACTTTGTGATGTGGCACTGGAACGATCGCTGCGTTTGCGTATCTTTCATGAATGCGGCCAACTAACTACATGGAGCTTGGACCAGCGCAACACGACATCATGCTGAGTAATGACATACAAATATCAAGATATAATATAAGTTTAAATACGTCCCGGAATCGTTAGGCAAAAGTCGTATACGCAATTAATGTCCACTACGGTACGTAGTTGTAAACGTTTCGCACTTAATATTATGTCCCATTTCTAAAGGATACACAATTTCTACTAATCCAATCACGAGCTTGCAAATCGAGATGTCGCTCGAAGCTTAAATCTATTCCAGCTCTTCGTATCCAAAGTCTCTAAAATGTCTAAAGTTTTATGTAAGACATGGATTCTAAAGCTAAACTATTTCGTCAATGAATCTAATTTTTCTTGCTCTTGATAGGGGCGTTGACGTGCTCGATGGTCTCACTTTGTGGATTCCTCTTTTTATTTCTAGTGGGAATTCTTGTGCAAGTGCAGCCGAAATACATGAAGATTCACAAAAGTGTACAGAGTCCTGCCCCAATCTTTGAATCGGCATGTTTGTATGGAACGCTCTTTCTCGTGTCATCCATGGTTTATTACAAAGAGACGAGGAAGAACACACGAACGAATTACGATCTCCGCAGCTCCACATTGGACGAACGTCAGTGTTTACTGGACAAGTGAGCACAGTGTCAATAGAAAAGAGATGGCATGAAAGTAGCTTTGCTGATAAAGTGTTGTTTTCTTGTTGTTACAGGCCGATAGTGAGCTACAGTTGAGGACGGTAGGATCTTATCACTTTGGGCTAATGAATCTTACTATTCGATAGTTAAGTGCCGGTCACTTTACATCTCCATGTTGTGCAATCTGTCCATTGCAAACAACCTTGTCATCACTGTTCAACTTCTCTTCAAATGGCCCTCGTAATGACAGCAAGCAAAATCAGCTCTAGGAGAACGGAACCATCAATGTGTATGTCAATATAGAAAAAGAGGCACTGATGCTTTTAGTTGGACTTACATGTGAGCGACACACGTGGCAATTGAAATGTGAATGTATGCAAAGGTATCGTAGTGACCCTTTCAGCCATCGGCACAACATTACATACTTCTTCCGTAATCATGTCCTTCAACATATACACATGTCTTGTGGAGTCTTGGTTTCGTTCCTTCCGGGAACCGACAACCACGCTTGACAAGATGTCCTCATACGCAGGTATTAGCGATAAGCTAGTACGGACTAATTTGAACTAGAGCTATTTCCTGAGCGTTTGATCAAGCAAGAAACAAACTTCGTACAGAAGAAGCTTGTATTATTACGCGATAAGCAGGAAAAAGTATATTGTTAATGAATGCCGACCTAAAGAAGACAATGACAACCTTTCGTCTTGAATTCTATCATCATTGAGATTGATATTCCGCTGCAAATTCTGCAAAATATTCAGACGGTAAAAGAAACGATATGTATTAGTGACGAGTTTAACGCTCATGAACAGCTTGTCGAGGCTTTTGGCAGCTACTCTCCCCTTACACATGTTCAGAAGACAAACGGGTTTGCGGCAAACCACTCGTGACTCAGCCTAAGTTGCCCTTTCAAAGCCGTCGATTTTAATGAACTATTTCATGAGTTCATTGTCCAAACAGCTCCTGAACGTATTCAGTGCCCTTAATCTGTTTCAAACCGCCAAGACTCATTACACGGACGTCGAGCGTAGCCATTTATCACCACTAGCATCTAAACCCCTGATGTAAGCGAGTTTTCTTTCACATACTGAACCCACATGCTAAGCAGTTCGACGTCAACTGAGTGGTTCGGTTCAGGTTTCAGATTAAGCTTCAACAGCTCCAAGACTTCACGCGGAGACTTTTTTTTGGCTTTCCAAGAGGTTATCAGCGCAGACTTCAATTCGCCCTGTAAGTCTTTTCCGACTTTTGCCTTTGCCAAAGTGTCAAATATCTTCAGAAGGCTTTCATCACCGTGATGTTGAAGCGTATCGAATTCCTGCACCACATACCTGACCCACATGTCAAAGTAAAATTTGTTACCACCTTTGTCAAGTTGCAGCCTAGTAAAAAGGTCATTTGCAGATAGTCCATCCATTTTCCAAGATGTCACCATAGAATTCAGTAATGGCGTCACAACCTCTTCAGTGCCCTCAATCTCGCTCAAACCCTTTAGAATCCTCAGACGGGTAATGTCGTCGTAATTAACTAACTCGAATCTCATCTTAAGGTCATTATTTTTCGGA